TGGCTCCCTCCTTTATCAACTTTGAAAAAAATATCAGTTAACTTTAAGAAACAATGTTGAGGGTGCATTTAGGGGTGGGGCTGATAAGGTGGTGACTGATGCCATCTTCTGAGGGTCTGGGAGCCCAACCCTCTTTGCAGGTGGCACCAGGTAGGGTGGGAAATTCTCAACTCTGTGTTTGGATGCTGTACCCAGTGCAAAGGAGCAGGGTTGTATCATACCTTCCTGACCGAGCTGTGTTGAAACCATTTTTACTAGGGATATGGTTACATCGTGTGGAGGCTTCCTCATGTGTCACCTGGGATTCTTATAGGACTGTTGGGGACACAGCTGTGCACATCACACTTTACTGTTGGACACAGAACAGAATAATTGTATAATAATGAACATTACCATGGTGGTGTTTACTAGAGTACTTTGTCTGGAAGAATCGTTACCGCAAACCTTGAAGAGCTCGGCCTGGAGGATTCACCTCCCCAGCCTTGTGATGCTGCATGGAACAGGAAATGCAAACAAAAATGGTTACAGTACAACAGAGGGGTGTAATTTTGGTTCCTGAAGGAGTCTCTTAAGCAGGATCTGTTTCAGGTTTCTGTAATAGGGTTGGAAATGAATGCGTGGTCACCAGGATCTGCTCCTTGGTCCTTAGGTCTTGGCTGTGATATCCTTTGGCCCTCTCAGGGTATCAAGATGCATTGCAGCCCACTGCCTTCCCACATTCCAGTCTATATGGGCATAAGCCACAGCGTCTGTTCCGATTGGACCCACCCTAGGCATGTGTGACAGTCAAAACCCCTCTTTGTGGCCAGGGTGCACAAGGTTTTGTTGGCCAGGCCCCCGTAGTGTGTCTGTTGGTATCCACAGGCCGAGTGCTCTGGGATCCTCCTGAACTGAGGGAGGAAGAGGTCTCCGTCTCTTCTGGCTTCTGTTACAAACCCATAGACAGAAGAGTGGCTTGAAATAATGAGAATGTATTTCCCTTAGTGCTGGAAGTCACAGATGGTGCCTAAGTGACTGTGTTATGAAGCCATTTCCCAGTTGCAAACTGCCAGCTTCTTGTTGTATCCTTGGGTGGAAGGAGAGAACCAGGCAGTTCTGAGAGGCCTCTTTAAATGGCACTGAGTCCTCTCTGGAGACTGTGTTCCCACACTAATCACTCCCCAGTTCTGTCATCTTGGGAGCTAAGATTTCAGTGTGAGAACTTGAGGGACGCATTGACATCCTACGCAGGTCCACACAGGAGAGTTAGGTGCTGTTACAGAAAAGGGTAAATGGAGGTCAAGGGCATCCCCTGCATGAGTGACACTCAGGTGTGACTGTCTTTCCTGCACCTGTGTACTATTGGCAGCGAGAGAGTACCTTCGGACCTAGTCTTGCAGGGCAGCTCTTGTCATCTGGGGACTTTGGAAAGAACAAGGCAGGAGACTGTGAGGAGGTGGCATGGTTGTATGACAGTCACTGAGCCCTGTTTCCGCTTCTGTGAGCCCATCACCTGACCTGCTTGCAGGGTGCAACTTTTGAGCCAGTTTTGAACACACTTGGAAAGCCATGCAGCCCCCAAGACTTTCTGGTCCACTCCACACAGTTGCTAAAATTTACTTTGTACCTAAAATCTTTGGTGTAAACAAAGCTCCTCCCTTGAGCCTCCTGTGAACCTTTGAGGCAGATCTTACTGCTTCCCCAGACAGGGAAGCGCAGCAGCAGACAGTCCCTAACGCTGTTCAGGAGTCCCACACAACTGCCCACAGACAGACACAGTCTAGGAAAAGGAAAATCACAGACCCCAACACAGAACCCCTCACCACAGTGTGAGAGTTAAGTCCGGGGAAATGACAGGGATAGCTCAGCATGAGCAAGAGGGTAAATCCCAGGAACATGAGTTGGCTTGATGCAAAAGTAAACTCAGTATAATGCTAACAGAAAAAGGAAGGAAACCATGTGGCTGCCTCAGTTGGTAACACTGATTGGCACTGGTGGCAGACCTGCCTTTCTTCCAAAAGCATGAAATCCCTCAGCCACACCTTGTCCTACTGGAAGTTAGAGGCTTCCCCTCCCTGGTTCATGCTCACCGAAGCCCTGAGTTCTCCTTCCTAAGACCCTGTTTTTTCCTGTTTGCCTCCCTCTGAAGCATGAGCTCCACGAAGGCAGGATTCATGTCTGTGCTAAACTCTTCTCAGATTTCACAGGTAATCCAGCAGATTCTCACATGGTTTTGATCTTTAATGTCCCTCTGAGGCCCGTGGGCTTCAGGCGTGGGAGTCAGCAGAACCTTGAGAAAGTAGGGCTTAGAGAAAGGAAGTTACCATTAGGAATGTGTCCCTACAGAATTGCTGGGACTCCAGCCAGCCTGTCTCCCCTTGTGAGCAGCTTCCTTGGTCTCCACACACCCAAACCCAAAGAACCAACTAACCGTGGACTAGAACTTCTGAAACCTCAGGCCTAAGTAAGCATCACCTTAGATTCTGAATTTTTGAAAGATATTTTGTCATTCTTTTGAAAAGCTGACTACTCCACATGAATTCAGTGAATGACTGACTACATTAGAGACTCCAGGAGGACCCGAGGCAGTGGGGAAGGAGAGGAGGATCCCCAAGGAGGAGTTTCCTCTGTGTCAGCCTCAAGGTGGGCAGGATAAGCTGGTAACAAGGGCATGTGATGTGCAGGGACAGCATTCGCAAAGGGACAGAGATGGGAAAGTTAGAGAAGAGAGAGAGAGAGAGGCTTCTAAGCTGAGGTCAGACCTCAGATGGTTCAGACTTCTGCTAGTCATGTGGCCTGGGGCAGTAACCCCTGCTTGGGCCCAAACCTCCTTCCTGTAGGTCTGAGGATGTCTGCGGTTGTGTTGGAGGTGGGGGCTGAAGGAGGCAGAACACCAGGGCCAAGGTTCAGGGAAACACACTGACCTGCAATTCCTTCTTTCTCTTGTGGCTAAAGGTCCTCTAAACATCATAGTGAGGTGGTCTCTACTATCTGTGTCCTGTTCCCAGCTCCCAGCCAGCTTCTTGTCTCATCCCTCCAAGAATCGTGGGCAGATAGCTAGAGTGCAAACCAGAGCTACTTTATCATCAGTCCAGAATCAATAGCCTTCAATATGGTAAAACAACTTAAAGCCTAGTACCACACAGGATTTGAAAGAAATAGGTGTTGTCTTAGTCAGTATTCTGTTGCTGTTTTATGTAGCTTAGGTTGCCCTCGAACTTGTTATGTGACTGAAGACCTTGAATTACAGATTATCCTGAGTTGTTGGGATTACAGACAAGCACCATCATGGCTGACTTATAGTTGTGACAGACTCTAGCATACCTGTGCTGTGTTGAAGAGTGAGCTGGGCAAAACTGAGGAATGAGTATTGGCACTCTGTTCCGTGTCTGTCCTGCCCTGGGACCTTGGTCACTTTGTACAGATTACTCTCAGAGTGCAGCATGCCTGTCTGCTCTCTGTAACATGAGGGAGGCCTGCTTGTTTGGGTTTCTGTCCTGCCCGGTACCCTACAGCCGGCAAGCCTCAAAGAAAATCACACATGGGTCTCCATAAATTATAAGCTGATTGGCCCATTAGCTCTAGCCTCTCCCTGGCTAACTCTCACATCTTGATTAACCCATTTTTTTTTTTTTTTATCTGTGTTAGCCGTGTGGCTCAGTACCTTTTTTAGTGGGGCAGATCACATCCTGTTGCTTTGGTGGTCTGGGCAGGAATGGGAGGAATCAACTTCCTCCTTTTTAGATTTTTTTTTGTTTTTATTATATCATTTTTAGTTTTTGTCTGGTTTTTTTTTGTCTATATTTTTTGTCTGGCCAATCAGCGTTTATTTAAAACGTGATTGACAGATTACAGACAATTCTCCCACATCAGCTCCCCACTCAGGAACATGTGGGCTGGTCTCCCTGCCAGTCCCTACCATCTCTGTGACATTCATCCCAAGGCTTCCGTGGGACCTGCAGTAACAGTGAATACCCACTTAGCATTCCCAGTGCCACATCTGGTAGACTCTGACATTACTGTGACGTGGGACTGTTGCTGTCCTGTATTAAGGAGCTGGGGCAGTGACACCTGAAGGCTTCCCCACCGTGTTGCAGGCTGTCCTGACTTACCTGCTGATGTGCTCATCTGCCTCCCGCCATGTGATTGTGGTGCCAACTCCAAGTGCATAGGGATCCTGTGATTGTTGTCATTATACTTAGTGGTCTCCAGGCCCTGAAGAAGCCATATTGTAACAAAGGATATTATCTGGGTGGGTGCTCTGAGTCCAGCCTGGATCAGCTGAGAGACCAGTAGTTTTCCTCAAGTGTAAGCACCTTTCCTGCTGATAGGGAATTACGTGGATGACTCACAGGCTGAAAATATTACATGGAAAATTCCAGAAGTAAACCACTCAACTGATGTTTTAGATAGCTTTCATAGCCAGGTGTGGTACATGCCTTTAAGTCCAGCACTTGGGAGGCAGAGGCAAGTGGATCTCTTCTGAGTTTGAAGCCAGCCTGATGTACAGAGTGAGTTGCAGGACAGCTAGGGCTATACAGAGAAACCCTTTCTCGAAATAACAACAACAAAATAACTTTCATTACAGTCTTATTATAACTTGTATTTTATTATGTTACCACGCTTACTCTCTTTCTGAGCCTCTAATGTATAAACTAAAAGTCACTATAAGTATGTATGTGTGTATGGAGGGTCGGAGCTGCAGTACTAACTGTGGTTTCACTGGGGTCTTGGGCCTTACCCCTGAGGCCTCATACCACTCTGTGTATCTCAGTTAGTGACTGTTGGATACCAAGGCTATGTCCAGGTGCCCAGTGTCTGGTTTGATTTTTCCCAGTGGGGGCTGTATGCTCAGGCTGGGGAGGTCCTGACAGTAGAAGGTCTTGGCTTGGCTACTTTCCTTCTCCGTTTTACTTTTAGGTTGATATGTGAGGTTCCTTGCCTCTACTGCTCTGGCTTCTGGGCCTGGCTGCGTCTTGTAGTATGGCTCCAGGAAGTAACCTTTCCTTTTTTTACTGCAGGTCATCCACCCGGCCAGAAGTAGCCAGCATAGAGCCATTGGGCCCCAATGAAAAGCAGTGCTCCCAGAAGGCAGTGGTGCAGGCCCGCTTGACCCAGCCAGCCCGCCTGACCAGCATCATCTTCGCAGAGGACATCAGTAAGGGTTTCATGTACTGTGGGAGATCCTTGATGGGGATGTCAAACAGGGAAACACCTCCTTGAGACCTCTACCTGGAGTCTAGGGAACACTGTTCTGGTCCTTCCCCCCCGCCCCGAATTTGCAGCATTTTACCTTGTGGAGATTGACTTTTAAAACCCATAAATTAATATTTATTACCCCAGGTGCTATTAACTGGTGTCAAATCAAAACGAAGAAAATTGACCTAGTAGGAAACCATGATTTGTCTTTCCCCATATTTGATTTATCATATTGCAGATGAGGAGTACAGCTCTCCTTAGTATCTGAGGTGGATTGGTTCTAGGATCCCTAGGACCAGACAGACCCTCTTGCATTCTGGTGCAATGCTGGCTTAGAACCATCTCCTGTGTTCTGAAACCCAATTCACACTAGAAACTAAGCATTAACCTAGCACAGTTAACCTAGCCATCCATACAGGAAAATTCTGGCTTTTTCATTATCACCTTGTGAACCCACATTTAAAGCTGTGAGGAAAAAATCCTCCAGGAAAATGAAGTTGTGTTCAGGTGTAACCACGAAGGGAAGTGGCAATCGTATTGCCTGACTCTGTACTCTGTTCACCAAGATCAGGACTCACACTGGAGCTTGCTCCTTATCGTTGTTCCTTTTGTGAGCAATTAAGATCATGTACTGTCCTTGCAGAGAACCTAAGTTCAGTTCCCAGCGCCCACTTTTGTGTCTCACAACTGCTTGTAACTCCATCTCCAAGAAACCAACACCCTCTTCTGGCCTCCATTGTCAACTGCACCAATGTGCACTAGTTCAGGGGCATTTACACATAACATATCCATACACACAAATCAAATAAAAGTAATAATTCCATAGCACTGGCTGAACATGTAGCTCAGTGACCCAGCACCTCCTTAGCACTTCCTTAGTGGTATTGACTTGTTGGTTACTATAGTCGCCACCATGGAGGTGGCCCTGGAGGTGGGACAGTGGCTGGACACCATTCTCAGTTCTGACTCCTCTCTGTCCCTGTAGCCACAGGTCAGGTGCTGCGCTGTGACGCCATTGTTGATCTCATCCATGGCATTCAGATCGTCTCTACTACCCGTGAGCTCTATCTTGAAGACTCTCCACTGGAGCTGAAGATCCAGGCTCTGGACTCAGAAGGTGACTGCACCGGGTGCCCTTGGCAGGCTCCTGCCTTGGCCGCAGCCTCCGTTACTGTGTCCTCTCATGACTAGCTACTGCTCCAGCCAGGAAGGGGAGCCACTGCCAAGGGAGAAGTAGAGTGGGTAGAAGCTATCTCTTAGGTAGCTTACATTCCCCTCCTTGTGTTCAGAGGCCTGGCCTGTGTGTGTGCGCAGGTGTTAGCTGACTCTGGGAGCAGGCTTGGTGCCCATGCAGAGACAGGTACCTCTGTTTCAGGAGCTGTCTTCTGGGTAGAAGTGGGAGAGCTGTCCACAGAGGTGATGGCCACACTGGGCAGTAGGAATCCTTTTTTTCCTTCTCAGTTTCCATGCTGTTTTTGATTTCCTAAGCACTCCAGACCTCCAAACACATGTATAGATGAGGGTAGCTGTGGGCTGCTGGCTCAGTGTATTGGGTGTTACTTCTTGACTAGCATGGATAGTGACTAGTTCTGGGGTGGGATTCTAGGTGTGGCCTTGCCTGGTGGTAGCAGACTGTCTGGGTTAGAGGTTGACCTCTTGGAAGGAGAACAAGAAGAGTGTGTCATTCAGCTTGTCATACTGATGGACAAAGTACCTGGGACAGACAAGAACAGGACATTTTTGATGCCTATTTTTAGCAGTTCCAGTCAATGTGTTTTGGCCCATGGCAGGGTAGGATACTTTAATCATGAGAGATCACTTACTTTATGGCAGCTGGAAGCAAAAAGAAGAAAGAGTGGGGTCCTGATAATTCCCTTCAAGCCCGTGCCCCTGGTGACCTAACTTCTCCCCGACTTGGCACCAGTTGTTTAGAACTTCTCCCAGGGCTGGAGAAATGGTTCAGTAGTTAAGAACACTGGCTGCTCTTCCAGAGGTCCTGAGTTCAGTTCCCAGCAACCACATGGTGCCTCACAGCCATTTAGAATGGGATCTGATGCCCTCTTCTGGCAAGCAGGTGTATATGCATATAGAGTACCATATACATAAAATAAATGCATCTTTAAACATTATTTTAAAAAGAAAAGTTTATCACCTCCAACTAGTGTAGCACCACGGCTGTTACCTAAGCCTTCAATGCATGGTCCGTTGCCCTCAGAGCTTTGGGCAGTGTGGATACTTCTTGTGAATAAGCAAGGTATATGCATGGAATGAGTGGCCCATGTGGGAAAATCTGGGATCTAAAACATATTTGGTCTTAAGCTTCTTGAAGTACTTGGAAGAGTCAATGAAAATATCCCCAGATCTGAAAACTAAAGAATCAGAATCACTTCCAGTCCCAAGCATCTGCAGGTCACTAGGAGATAGTAGAGTTGGGGCAGAGACCCTGGGGACAGCTGAGGTGGGTGTGCAGGGTGCAGGTTAAAACTTTCGAGGAAGACACGATGGTGAGGTGAGTAGTGAGGATTGTGGTTTTACCAGACATGGGTGTATACTGGGGTGAGGGTGGGGTAGATGTGTCTTGTAACTGAGTCAGAATATGAGCTGTGACCTGACTGCAGGGGTCCTGCTTTGGGTCAGAAGTTGGCCATCTTGTTCTGTTTTGGGCAGCATAGTGAATGGGACCAAGCTTTTCTGGACATAGGCCTCTGTCACATCTTTTCACCTGGGACCTTGTTGCTCCAGAGTAGCCAAAGGTATGCAGCAGTGAGTGGATGGGTCCTAATAAAGCTATTTTATAAAAGCAGGCAGGGAACTGGATGGTGGTGGAGCATGCCTTTAATTCCAGTACTAATGAGGCAGGGGTAGATGAATCTTTGTGAGTTCAGTGATAGCCAGGGCTACACCAGAGGAACTGTGTCTCAAAAGACAAACAAGCAAGCAAGGAAACGAACAAACAGGGACTATATTTGTTCCACAGGTTGTAGTTTGCTGACCACTGCTCTGTTTCTACCTGAAGTTATAAAGATTATTCCTACTGAGATTTTTATGTATTAAATGACCTGGTTCTAATTTCTTTTAAAGATTTACTTATTTTATGTGTATGAGTGTTTGCACATATGTGTGTGCACCACATATCTGAAGTACCCACAGAGTCCAGAAAGGACTTCTGATCACCTGGAGCTAGAGTTAGAATTGTGAGCCTCCATGTGGGTGCTGGGAACCAAACTCTGTCCTCTGCAAGAACAGCAAGTGCTCTTAACCAGGGAGCCATCTCTTCAAACTGAATTCACATTTTTAAAAAGTGGGTTCTGGTTTAATTCACAAAATTGTACCATCATCACCATATGACTGTTTAATTTTAGAACTTTTCATCAGTGTAGAAAGAAACCCAAAACCTATAAACACTTAACTGCCAGCTGCCCAGCCCCTGGCACAGTCCTCCCTCCCTTGTCAGGTTTCTGTCTGCATTGCTTGCTCTGGACTTTTCCTGGAAGTGCAGTCACATGGCACAGCCACACAGCCTGCTGACCTATCTTCTCTCTCACTAAGCCTGGTGCCTTCAATCCATGACTTAGTACCAGGTGACAGAAGTCTGTTCTTTTTACTGTCAAACAGCATTCCACTGTGTGGACAAACTGTTGTTTCTCTAGCCATCAGCTGATGGAATTTTGGGCTTCCACTTTGCCACTGTGAGCTTCTGTGTAAATACATGTTTTAGCTTCTCTTGAGTAAACCCAGAAGAATAGGGCTGGAGAGATAGCTCAGCGGTTAAGAGCACTGGCTGCTCTTGCAGAGGACCCAGGTTAGAGTCTCAGGACACACATAGTGGCTCACAACCATCTGTAACTTCAATTCCAGGGGATCCGACACCACTTTCCATCCTCCTATTGATATAAGGCCTGCATTTATACATATAAATAAATCTTTAAGAAGCAGCTGAGTGATATGCTTTCTGTTTGGCTTTCCTCAGCCAGACATGCTTTGACCTTTGTTGTCTATTTTGGTCTAGATCTCTTCTGTGAGTGACCTTGACCCTTGTAAGCTTTGTGGACTTCACTGTCTAAGAAGGGTTGTGTCTTCTCTAGATCTCTGCAATTTATCAGATGTGTGAGAGCCTGTGGATGCCAGCCCTTGTGCCAGGGTGTAAGCAAGTTTGGTAATGCCCATTGCATAGACAAGGAAGCTGTGGTGACTTAGCCAGGTCACATGGCCCGTAGGTGTTGCTCTGATTCTCTCATGCTGCAGTACTTTTCCTGGCTGTTGGCAGCTCTCTGCATGCTGCATAGACCATCTGCCTGCTGTGGTCTGAATGTGACTTGCCTGCCTGAAACTCAAGTTAATGTTCTGTCCTCAGAGTCTGAGAGCTCAGGAGTGGTGTTCCCTTTAAGAGCTGATCCGGTCATAAGAGGGCCAATACAGTTCTTGCTGGATCAGCCTAGTTAGCTTTGTTTTGTTCAGTTTATACCTAGGCAAATCTGCCATCTGCCTGTCTAACCTTTTTTTTCACCACATTGAAGCAACATGTTTGTTATTAAACAGGGTCTTATGTAGCCCAGGTTGACCTTGAATTCACTATGTGGCTGAGGATGACCTTGAATTTGCCTTTGCATCTAGAGTGATGGAATTATGCTGTGGGACAATGATCTTATACCCTTTAATGATTTGTCAGTTGTATTGTTTTAATATAATTTAATTTAATGAAATGTTGATTGGTCAGTAGCCAGGCAGGAAATATAGGTGGGGTGATAAGAACAGGAGAATTTGGGGAAGAGGAAAGGTCATTCTGCAGTCGTGACCCAGATGCAGAGGAAGCAAGATGAGAATGCCTCACTGATAAAGGTACCAAGGTACATGGCTAACACAGACAAGAATTATGGGCTAATATAAGATATAAGAGTTAATAAGAAGCCTAAGCTACTAGGTCAACCAGTTTATAATTAATGTAGACCTCTGTGTGTTTCTTTGGGACTAAATGGCTGCCGAACCGGAGGGTACAGAAACCTCTGTCAACAGAATTATAGGCATGTTCTACTGTAGCTAGTTTGCTGTAGTGCTGGGATTCAAACCAAGGGCTTCATGCATGCTAGGCAAGTACTGTATATATGAGCCATGTCCCTGATCCCTCATGAGGTATCTTGACATGAGGTCTTCACTGGATGTAACAACCAATTTTGCATATCCATTCTCTTAGATCATGAGCTAAAGCAAACTGGTTTCCTTTATAATTACCTGTGTTAGCATTCTACTCTGACTAAATACCTGAAAAATCAACTTAGAACAAAGAAAAGTTTACTTTGGCTCATGAGTTAAGCAGTTTTAGTCCATGGTTGTTTGACCCTATTGCTTTCCAGTATCCCCTGCAATGGCATGCTCCCACTGCCAATGGTGCCACAGGCTGGTGACCAAGTCTTTGGGGGAATTCAAGATCCAAATTGTATTGCTCTGTCATGGATGTGTTCTATTTTAGAAACTGAAAATGGACTATCACAGGACCCCTTAAACATTCTCTTCTTGTAGCCCTTTTTTTTTCCTGAGCACTTTTCATGTGGTCTCAGGTGTATAAGAACTCAAAGTAGGGCTGGGGAGATGGCTCAGAGGTTCAGAGCACTGGCTGCTGTTGTTCCAGAGGTTCTGAGTTCAATTCCCAGCAACCACGTGGGGGCTCACAACCATCTGTAATGAGATCTGATGCCCTCTTCAGGTCTACAGGCATACATGCAGGCAGAACATTGTATACATAATAAATAAATCTTTAAAAAAAAAACCCTCAAAGTAAGCATTAAGTCCATTTTTTACTCATAATAAATCATGCATTTATTTTGAAACAATGCTTTTGTGTTTGTATACTTTTATCATTTATCAAAGCTAAAATCAAATTTGCAGACTAACAAGATGGGTGTACTTGCTCGCTTTTACATAAAGAAATAAATGCCATCTGGGTATTTGATTCTGTAGGATACAGAGTGACAGAGTGTCTGCTATGCCTTTCAGAGCTGATAGATGGTTTGGTTTTTTGAGTTCTGAGTGCTGGAAATGTTGCTTTGCATAAATAGTGCAAGATGGGAGAAATGCTTTTAGAGCCATTTTAGAAATTCCAAGCCAAAATTCACATACCAATTTTCTATGCAGCTTTAGTTGGCAACTCAAATAGCAATATTTCGAGGTGAGAGAGGGATTGAGACAAGGCCAGCACAGGCTGGCCTCAAACTTGCTGTAGCTGAGGATGTCTTGTACCCCTGTTCTTCCTGCCTCTACCGCACAAGTGCTGGGATTATAGGCATGTCCCAGTGAGCTAGCCTCATGGAACAATTTTTAAAATCAAAATTATAACACAATAAAAACCCAAAGATAAACCAATTTGATATGTGTCGAGGCATGTCTGGAAAATATGGAAAAAATCCTTGTTTTTCTTAAACAATTATGATATTTCTTTATTTGTACTTTGGTGTTTTGCCTGCATGCATGTCTGTGTGAAGGTGTGGTATCCCCTGGACAGGAGGTACAAACAGTTGTGAGCTGCCATGTGAGTACTGGGCATTGAACCCTGGTCCTCTGGAAAAGCAGCCAGTGTTCTTAACCACTGAGCTATTTCTTTAGACCCAATTATGATATTTTTAAGAACAGAAAACTTTGTACATATATTAAAACATTGCATTTATAACACATGGTGGTTTCAAATCTGAGCACAGTAGAATGCCCCATGCAAAGTGTTCATGTTAGCCAGATGTAGTTGCCCATGCCTTTAATCCCATCCCTGGGAAAGCAGAGGCACGTGGACTTCTGTGAGTTCAACATCTGCTTGATCAACACAGTGGGACCCTGTTTCAGTAAAAATAAAAACAGAACAAAAAGCCTACCAAAGTGTACATGTTGCATGTTCAAAACCAAGGTTGCAGTAAAGTTATGGAGTGCAACATTACACATTTGAGCTTTGATTATTTTCTGGTCATTGCCCCTATGTAGAAATGTTTTTTTGTGGGGGCTGGAGAGATGGCTCAGAGGTTAAGAGCATTGCCTGCTCTTCCAAAGGTCCTGAGTTCAATTCCCAGCAACTACATGGTGGCTCACAACCATCTGTAATGAGGTCTGGTGTCCTCTTCTGGCCTGCAGGCATACACACAGACAGAATATTGTATACATAATAAATAAATAAATTAAAAAAAAAAAGAAATGTTTTTTGTGGACCCCACATTTAGTCATAGAAACAAGCCACGGTTTAAGAGCTGGGGACTAAGACACTGCCCTATTGACATGATATTGTTTGCAGTGTGTTTCCAGAGTGATTTCCTATCCCTCATGTACCATGCGCATCAGTGAAATGGAACTGAGCATGCTCCAGGTCCCCAGAGATACCCTCATACCTCTGCTTGTGTTGTACCTTTGGGATGGGGGTTCTGGGCCCAAGTCTTTGCTGTCAGAGCCCTGCATCCTCCAGGCCTTTCTGCTCGGGTGTTCCTCCTCCCTGTCTGCCCTGGCTTCCCAGGCACAATTTGCTCTTTCCCGCTGACTTCTCTCAGGCCTTTCTGGCCGTGGTATTCAGGGCTTGTTTTACTTTGTTGAGCTTAGCTCTTGGCTTTATTCTTCCCACTACTTCTGGACTTTGGAGCCAGTGAGCATCGGACATGTGTTTGTTCATTTGAGTTACATAATGATTTTCTGTAACCCTCCTCCCTTGTGTCCTATGGACTAGGGCAGAAGACGTATGTCCTCTGACTTCTGAGCTCCTGGGTCTCCTGGTTTATATCTCTTGACTGTGAGGCTTTGGGGTTGCACACATGTTGCTCATAACTACTTCTCAAGTGGAGAAGCAAGACTTTGGGCCTGATCTGTGGGGCCATTTTGCCTTTTGCATCTTATAAACATATAACCCCACCCTACCCCCATGTCACTCCTGGGGCAGGCTTACTTGGTGGTCCCTCCCTCACTCTCCCTTCTTGAAGCGCTGCAGGCCACAGCAAGGGAGCCATTGTAGTCAGTGTCCACCCTGCACACAGAACAGGTTCCCACAGGGTTCTATGCTCAGAAGTGGCCAACTTGGCTTCATACTTCATGCTCAAATCCTGCTCTCTGGAAGTCCATAATTGTGCACTCTGGTTGAATAGTGGAGTGTGTGCTGGTGACATGGAGCCTTAGAAATTCTGGGTGCTGCATCCTTGCCATTTTCATGCATCCTGGAATGGCTTCTATGCCACTTCCTTCTGACTCTTGGTTCCCTGGATCCTCCTGTTCCCTCTCCTCATTCTTAACCATTTACACCCTCTCCCTGTAGGACTCCTGGTGGGGTGAGTTGGGTGCATGTGTAGGGAAGGGCCACCCATTTAGGAAGGAAGGATGTGACTTGAGTTCTCTACATCCCAACCCAGGTGGGATGCCATTTGGTGGTGCAATGGCTAGTGGGAAAAACCAGTAGTTGGCTGTTCCTGGCCCATTTGTGTCCTAAGTTAACAAGGCACGGTTTCAAGTCCCCTCTGTGGGTCTGTCGTCACTTTTCAACTAGCTCACTCCCTGAGGGAGCATGCCCTCAGCTGGTTCCATACCTTTGGAAGGGTCTCCTGTTTGTTTGTTTGTTGTTTGTTTGTTTAACCTTCTGGCACTTTCTACTGCCTTGCATAAAAGACGAACATCTGCAAATACAGGGGGCCTGGAAAATTCTAGTCAGTTCCCCATGCACATCCTTCCGATTTGGTGAAACTTTAAGAAGTTCTTCCTACTCTGGGAGTCTCCTCTAATCTTGTGAATGTGGGAAACAGAGTGGGGTGAGAGAGGTGCTAATGACTCAACCCAGGAGCCATAGTGCTGCCCTATTTTATGAGACAGGCCTCTTGTGGGGTGTCTGCTTCTCCTGCCCTCCTCTTCCTCCTGCTCACTGGAGACACTTTCTCTCTCCTGCTCACTAAGGATACTTTCTGTCTTAAGATTTATTTTGAATTATGTGTATGTGTGGGTTTGTGACCTCCAGGTACTCTTGGAGGTTAGGACCTGGAATTACAGGTGACTGTTCACCAATGTGGGTTCTGGGAACCAAACTCAGATCCTCTCTAAGTATATAACCTCTCTAAGTGGCTCTTAATCACTAAGCCATCTCTGTGGCCCACTGGAGACACTTTCCTGAATTGATCCAGTAGATCCATAGGATGGAGTTGTTGATCCCATTTTATAATAGAGAAAGGGGTCTGGAGTGAAGCAGGAGGAACTCCTAGAGTACTCTTGATAATGCAAATGGCCATGGTCAAGGAAGTAGACCACCCATTAGGTTATCATATTGAATGGCTAGTAGTGATTGTATAACCTAAATGGATCATAAGGTATCCTCTATCCTCTTGTTTTCATCAGCATCCTACAGGGTCAGCTTGTTTGGTTCTGCCATGAAGAGTTAGAAACGCACTAGCCTGGGGCTGTGTGGGCTTTCCATGGGGGGGGGGGGGAGGACAAAAGACGTTCCTGTGGTTCCAGCTGTGTCCCAGAAAGGGACTACGCCATGAGGTGGTGTGCACCTTGTCTCCGGGGTGTGGTAGAAAGGGCTCAGCCCCCATGCAATGAAAGCAGCTGGGTTGATGAGAGCACCTTGATGTCCTTGCCATGCATGTTCAAGGTGTGGATTTCAGTATCTGCCTCGTGGTGTTAGGGAAACAAGCTTCTTTGGTCCAAGGGTTTCCTTAGCGTTTTAGAACCATAGCTTTTTGTCTGTTCAACACTTCTCTGTACCCTCACCCTTTCTGGATGAGGCTTACCTGTCCAGATGTGGAAAGATGCCCAAGGAACTTTAAGAAGAGGGCCCCTTCTTCTAGTCTCCCTGGAAGTAAGGGCCAAGACCATCTTTGTCTGGCCTTTTTGCTAAGTGTGGTTTGATTTGGGCTTTAAAAACAAAGACTTTTTTTTTTTTACTTTAATCTGTATTTATATATATGTGTGTGTGTGCCTGAGTTGTCATGCTACACCACCTGCATGCAGGTGCCTACACAATCCAGAGGGCGTCAGATTCCCAGGAACTAGAGTGACAGGCGGTTATGAGCCACATGATGTGGATTCTGGGAACCAAACTTGAATCTCCTGGAGGAGCAGTCAGCACTCTTAACCCCTGAGTCAGCCCTCTAGCCTCTGATTTGGCCTTTGAGATGTTGGGTGGTTTGACTAAGTAAATATCCTATTTTATGATTTGGGTCTGAACTGTCTCTCATAGGCTCTTGTTGACTTGGATACAGGTGCAGGGGTGTTCCGAGATGGGTCATGAAGGATCTGACCTTGTCAGTTGATGGCTTCATGAGCTTTCGACAGGGTGCAAAGTCAGGAGATGGTTCCAGGCTGAACAGCCATTGAGAGCATGCCCTTATGTTCTGTATCTTGTCTCCATTTCTTCCCTCTGTCCTTAATTCTTGACTCCAGGAAGGTGAGGAGCTTTGCCTTGCTCTCCCTTTGTGGCCCCTGATGCTGAGATGCATTCCCATGCTCCTGTACCTTGAAGAGAGGCATTCTATCTTCAGGAGATGACAAGGAGGAGGATTAATAGCTTAGGTGTCAGTGGCCTCCTAAGTTGTCTACACCTACAGAGGGTTCAAGGTTAAGTGGGGAGGGACAGGCCTGAGTTCAAATCTTGGCTCAGCCTTTTGTAAATGGTAAGAAGCAAGTACCACCATTCCTTTGAGCCTTAGTTTTTCCTTTCTGAAAAAGAGGTCATGGTGTGTACCTTGCGGGGGTGTGGTGCTGAGCACTGTGTCTGCATGTAGTAGTCAGAATTGCCATCTCCCTGTCCCTGGACTCTAGGGAGCAAACTCATGCGTTTCTGCCTCTAAATTCTTTTACAGGGAATACCTTTAGCACCCTGGCAGGGCTGGTCTTTGATTGGACAATTGTGAAGGATACAGAGGCCAACGGATTCTCAGACTCCCACAATGCCCTACGGTAAGAGGCTCTGCGACAAGGCCTGGCTACCTTTGAGTGGATGCAGAAATTTGAGTCCTTAGGCTTTCTCCTGTCAATGAAGAGGCTAGGGCACCTCCCAGGATGCTTGGTGCTTACAGTGATTGATTGGGAAGAGTTTAGTGCTTCCCAAGCATGCAAGCAGCCTCTGTGGCGCATTGTGATATATTCTATGGGAACTTGTCAGAGAGATTGGGATATCTAGCTGAACAAAGAAAACACAGAACTCTGGAAGGCTGTCTTGGGGTGCAAGGGACATGTGGGTGACCCTAGAGGGAAGTGTTTCCCTGGTGAGAAAGTTAAAGGGGAGGCAAGTTCTGGCTAAGAGGACAGGCCAGCACCAAGAACAGTTTTTAGAATAGGCTGGGTCTCCAACAGAGTACAGACAGAATCATAAAGAGAGGATGTCGGAGCCAGCTGGAGAGATGGCTCAGAGGTTAAGAGCATTGCCTGCTCTTCCAAAGGTCCTGAGTTCAATTCCCAGCAACCACATGGTGGCTCACAACCATCTGTAATGGGGTCTGGTGCCCTCTTCTGGCCTACAGGCACACATACAGACAGAATATTGTATACATAATAAATAAATAAATAAATAAATATAAAAATGCAAAATTTGCTGTTAGGGGGAGGGGGAGAATGGTGGGAGGAGGGGGAGGGAAATGGGAGGCTGGGAGGAGGGGGAAACTTTTTTTTCCTTTTCTCAATAAAAAAAAATTAAAAAAAAGAACTAGACACAATTTTAAAAAAAATTAAAAAAATTAAAAAAAAAAGAGGGTGTCGGTGCGTCTGGACTCATTATACCCCTCCCCCAGCATCTGTCTGGCCCATGCCACCTCTGACCTTTCCACTTTCCAGCCAGGGAAACTGAGGTTTGGAGAGAGTGGGCCTTTTGGTAAGTGGCTCAGTTGGCACTTGTACTCAGACCTCCGTAGATCTCTTTTATCCAGCATGGAAGCTGCTGAGCCTGTGATGAGTCAAATGCATAACTGACAGAATGAAAAGTTCTTTCTGAGTTAGCAAGATGGCTTGGCGGGCAAAGGGTCTTATTACCAAGATGATGTGAGTCCCCAGGTCATGCCACATGGAAGAAGGAAAACTGATCCCTGCAAATTGTCCTCTGACCTTTTTACTTGAGCCATCACTCACACACAAGCACAGGCATGCGCGCGCGCACACATGCACGCACGCGCACGGATTAGGGTGATAATAAATGTAAAAGAAATTTTTTCTTTTTAAGTTTCTTTCCTAAGACATACACCTTACATTTAAAGCCCTGGTTAAAGGCTCTGTCTGTTGGCTGGAGTGGTAGTAGAGCGATTCAATTTAAAACCTACAGAAAATGCCAATGTAGCGCAGAAAACTTTTCCCTAAATTACCTGAGGGCCTGTTGCCTGGGAGATGTCTCATCACCTTTGCTTATTTTACTGTGTTTCCACTACCATTAGGATATTTTCTTGAGTATCTACAATACAGTTATCAAGACCAGGAATTTGGGGCTGGAGAGATGGCCCAGCGGTTAAAAACATTGGCTGCTCTTACAGAGGACTCAGGTTTGATTCCCAGCACCCTTGTAGCTCATAGCTGTCTGTAGCTTTGGTTCCAGGGGATCCACACCTTCTTCTGACCTTCACAAGCACAGCATGTACATGGAGCACAGATATATGCAGGCAAGACACACATCAAAATAAAAGTAAATATTTTTTTAAAAAATCAGGAAGTTCACCCATATGCACGCTATCTTCAGAACGTATACTAGCAACCCAAGGTCACATGCTACATGCTGTCACTTTCCTTTTTCTTTTCTTCCCCTGTCAGCCTGGACAATCTCTTGGTCTTTCTTTGGTTTTCAGGGTCTTGACACTTATGAAAATGACAGTCCAGGTGGTGTGTGTCTGATGCTGGTGTGATCCTGGGCATGGGACCTAGGTCGTGTGCATACTAGGCTGCACTCTGTTACTGAGCTATTGGATGATTAACCACAGCTTAGCACAGCGCGGGATTCATCCTGGGGAGGCAGTAAGCGTGTCCTGCAGGCTGCTCCTTTTTGGGCAGAGCAGGGGGCTTGTTGTGAATTGCTGGCTGAAAGAAAGACAAGGTAGGGACACATAAGCCAGGAAGGTTCACCATGTGACCTTTCTGCTGAGCTGATCAGCATTACTGACCCTTTTTGAGTTGGGGCCTTGGGTTTGCCTTTTAATGTGAGTTTTCCTTGTGGACTCAGCTGATTGTCTCCAATTCCAGTGTTGATAGAGTGTTCATTCCCAAGATCAGGTGTATTCCACAGACACATTGCTGCTCTGACTCAGACAGTGGCAAAGATGTGTTTCTAATGTTTTCAGGCAGTATGGTTTCTGACATCAGCACCCCTTATTCAGGGGTCTATCAGGAGGAGACCCTGATAATAATGAATGCCACACTGGGTTCTGAGAAATTCTATGCTCAGGTCTCATGATGCATTTTCCTTTCAGAATTCTCACCTTCTTGGAATCTACATATATCCCGCCTTCCTACATCTCAGAGATGGAGAAGGCAGCCAAGCAGGGCGATACCATCCTAGTGTCTGGGATGAAGACTGGAAGCTCCAAGCTCAAGGCTCGCATTCAGGAGGCTGTCTACAAGGTGGGCCTAAGTTCACTGTGCTGTCCCCACAGTGGGGTAAGGATGACAGTGGACTATAGAACGGGCTCGAGGGAGTTATGACTTTTGTGTCTTTTTGTTTGTTTGATGTGTGAGCCATGGCATAGGGAAGGGAGGCCGAGGCTCCAGGAGTCAGTGTCACAGATGTCACAGTATCTGTTCCCCAGTTTTGAAGGAGATACCTCATTTCCAGGAAGTGCTCTCCATCCTGATGCAGGGGCACACCTACCATCTGAGACTGGCTTCATGGTTTTTTGTGGATGTTGTTTCTCCCCACCATTCCCCAGTTAGTAAAAGGCTTTTCCTACCAGCCTTGCTAAGCAGCACCTGCCCTGTGTCCAGACCTGTGTAGTCCATTGGGGTACTGAAGCAAATCTATGGAGATGGAAGATGGCCATAAATCCACCCAGAAAATTCTAGGTCTATTGTCATTCCTGTCAACAAGCATCATTTCTGCCATCAGTTTTCTCTGACAATGAAAGCCACAGCTCCTGGGGAATATGGCACCCAGGGTACACTGGACAGGAGACCCTGTCATCCTTCTGCTCAGTCTCTCAGGTTGCTCCTGAGGTCTAGACTGGACCTGAGGGGTGAGCTGGAGAAGAGACCAGGGAGTAGGAACTGAGTGCACACAGCATTCCCCTTTCCGGTCATCCTGGTCCTCTGATCATTGGTGGAGTGAGAGAGCCTGAGCACTGGTAGCCACAGCATCTGTAGACATTGCTCTTGGCTCTGGTTTCTTTCTGTGTAGTTACTGTCACTTTAAATCAAGATAGGACATGGGAAAGGTACAGTGAGTAGTCATATGTTTTTTCAGTGACAGTTTTGAGTGCATCCTGGTACCATACCCATGGGATTCTCCTGGGGTCTAGGCTGTAGGGTTACAAGTGATATCCTATTTCTCCATGTCTCAGTGAGGACATATTCAGAAGTCAAAAAATTAAACAGTTCTGGGGCTTTAGCTGTACCTGAGCTGTGTACCTAGTATGGGCCAGTCTTGGTATCGGTCCCCAGCACCATATAAAAATATAATGAACTGGGCTCTAGAGGTGGCTTAGTAGTTAATTGTGCTTGCTGATCTTACAAAGAGCTCAAGTTCATTTCCCAATAACTATATCCAGTGGCTCAGAATCTAGATATAGGGTAGCTCCTATATCTACACATATACACTCATACATGTAGCATATACACACAGAGACACACATATATACACACAATTTACGAGAAAATAAATGTTAAAAATAAACCCAAACAACAACAACAAAACAACCATGGGTTGAAGAGATGATTTAGCAGTTAAGAGCACTTGCTACTTTTGCAAAGGACCTGGGTTTGGTTCCCAGTACCCACGTGGTAGCTCATAACCATCTGTAACTCCAGATCCAGAGGATCCAATACCCTCTTCTGGCCTTAGTGGGAATACAGTATGCATGTGGTGCACAGACACACATGCAGTCTAAACACCACACCCATATTATTAAAACACACACACACACGCACGCACGCACACACGTGCACACGCACACATAGCCACAGAGCATACCACTATCACCCCAAAACCAAAAAAGCCTTAAACCTTTCTGACCCACAATTCCTCTGCTCCGGTTCCTCATCCCACCTCACCTTCTTTCTCCTTTTCTCTATGCTAAGAATGTTCGCCCTGCGGAGGTAAGGCTGCTGATCTTGGAGAATATCCTTCTGAATCCAGCCTATGATGTCTACCTGCTGGTGGGGACGTCCATTCGCTACAAGGTTCAGAAGATCAGGCAAGGGAAAATTACAGGTACATTCGTGACTGAGAAGTCATGTTAGATGTTTCCCTCTTTCTTTTAAAAAGTATTTTATTTTTTATGTATATGGGTGAATATTGAGGGATGGAGCTCTGTGCACACAGTACCTGTGGAAGCCAGAAGAGGGCAGTGGATCCCCTGGAAAACTGGAGTTAGCCACTATGGTATAGCTACTGAATAGGTACTGGGAACTGACCCTGGGTCTTCTGTGAAAGAAGCTGGTGATCTTAACCACTGAACTCTCTCTTCAGCCACTTCCCTGTTTCTTACTGTGATAAAATACACGGCACAGGAAGTTCAGCGCTGTAAAGATTTTGTGTGTACAGATCAGTGGCGTTACATTCCTTCATAGCACTTTGTAACTGTCACCTCATCCATCTCCAGAACTTTTTCAATGTCCTCATTAATAATTCACACCCAACACCCACTAACCACTGTCTAATGAAGTTGACTACTCTGGGGGCCTCAGTTACATGCAATTCTGTGTACTTGTTCTGCAACTGGGCTCCTATTGACTGTGTCCTCAAGGTCCGTTGCTGTCTAGACCTTGAGGTATCAGACCACATTTTATTCATCTGTCTGTCCTTTGACAGTTGGCATGGCTCCATCTTTTTTTTTTTTTGTCATGAAGAGTGCTATGAACATGGGTGTGCTTATAGCTGAGTCCCTGCTTTCAATTCTTCTGGCTGCATTTAAAGCAACTTCAGAGGAAGAGCAAGGCTCACGTTGGACCAGGATGTTCCCATGGCCTGCCTCTGACTGATGAGCAAAGTTGAGCTTTGTTTTGGGTGGACCATTTCTGCTCAGTATGTGAAAAAAACATGATTGACAAGAGTGGAGCTATTCTGGAAATTCTATGGTATTTTAGAAGGTGAGGGTAGATGAGCTGGTCCTCCTAGGAATCCTGACGATGTAGTTCATAGATGAAGGAGTATGGTCTCAGAACACAGTGCTCAGAGGACCTCAAGACTAGTGTGCTGCATTCAGGGTTGTTCATCTAAGGGCTTCAGCACATGACTCCCCAGGTGACCACCAGAGTGGCAGGTGGCATTTAAGAGGCCTGTAGATGCTGCTATCTACAAGAGACTTAAGGCTACAGTTTCTTACATTGAATTCTAGGTTGCATAGCAGTTCATGGATGGGAACCTGAGAGGTACCACGTCTATGAACCACCAGCGGTGTCTGGTTAGTCATCCTGGAGTAGGTATTGCTTGGTCCATTTGAAGGACTCTACCTCCTGTTTCTGTACCCAGTTCTCTGAGGACAAAGATGGAAGGAAGAAGCTTGTGTTTTGTGAGTGTCTGCTGCATGCTGAGCAGGTGGATCAGCCTTTTGCATGACGTCCAGTCAGAGTAAGGATACTGTACAAGAGGATGTGCAGGGAGCCCAGCCCAAGGGTCCTGTCAAAGCTTGATATCACCTTTGACTGAGGAAAGAAGTTATGGAAGGATAAGGATGGTTCTAAGACTGTGGCAAGGTTTTCTGGGACCTTGGTGAAGCAGTTGGAAGTGGAGTTCTGTGGTCACCAATGTGACATCATAAGAAGGAATGTGGTTGGGAGAGTGAAAAGCCAGAGAACACAAGCAGGTTGTATAAAATTCTGCAAGGACACAGATCAGGAAAGGCATTGCCTTAAAGGATGAGGACCTGGAAAGGGTAGCGTTGTGGTTGTCCTCTGAGCTAAGCAACTAACATCTTGGGACATTCACGTGTGCCCCTTGCAAAAGATCATCCCAGCTAGGTTCACTTACAGTTTACATCCCACATAGAGAGGAGGAAAGGCACAGGGACTTCTCACCTGAGTATCCAGCTGCTCCTGCCACTTGGCTGCCTTAATTGCATGGGCCTACAGGAAAGCCAACATCCCTGCTGGGTAAGGCTTGGGCTGGTTGCGGGAGGAGTGCCCAACATCCCTGTAAGCAACTCCTCACCTGTGCACTGTAAGGAAGTCCAATAAACTCCTTGGTTCCCCAGAGTGAACTTTGGTGGAATTGTGTCTCTGCTTTTCATTGGGCTCTTGGGAGGAAGGTGGCTTTTGCTTACATTCCTCTGGAGAAGAAATTGTACCTACAGGTGGACATTGCCGAAAGTGTTTCACTAGGACTGAGCACCTCTGAAGTTCGGAATAGTTCTGAGAACTCTTCCTTTTAGAACTCGGCAGCCCTGGGAGGTGAGCTTCTTGAAGACCCCCTGGTGTAGGCAGGGACACAGAGGAAAACCTGAAGGCCACAGAGCTATAGAGTCCAACTGAGTATTATCTTTTTGCTGCTGTGCCCTCAAAAGAAAGTCAGGAAAACATACTAAGGATAGTGTCTGGGCTTTGTATTTCTTCTAGCAATAAGATGGAGATGGTCTACTATACAGGGTCCATTAGAGATGACACTGGCCAGGTTGGGAGAGGAGGGGAAGCCAGCATGGCTGGGAGGCACTGGGCTGGTATTTTAAGGAGCTTATCATAAATCAGCACCCAAGTTCACCCGGCCCTGCTTCCTGACTGTGGATGTGTGTAACCAGCTGCCTCATACTTCCCCTATTGTGCCTTTCAAACTGTGAGCCCAAAGCCCTTTTCTTCCTCAAATTTCTATTGTCGGGCCTTTTAGTAAATAGCTAGCATAGTAGTTCATGGCTCAGAGAATTGGACCTACCAAAGGTTCAGAAACTTTGGAGATTTGGTGACTCATCTGCCGTAGAAATTGAGGGTAACAGCCCAGGAGAGACATCCCAGAGCCAGAAAGAGGTGAGTCCCCTGCTCTCATCGGTTGGCCACATGCCTATATGATGGTTGATGATGTTGGCCAGGCGTGGAGAGGCTTCTGGAGGATGCCCTGGGAAATAGCCTGCCAGCATTGGTTTACCAGGAGCAGAGTACACAGGTGGCGCCCCTGCCATTTTCTTCATATGGCCTTTTTTCCCCATCACTGTCTTTTGAGTGTTTTTATCATGTTTAGTTGTTGGCATATCTTTTAACTTCCAGAGCTGGATTTACCCATTCTGTTTGGAAATTAATATCCAACTTATATTAATTGACATTTTCTTTCATAAATTTATGAAGTCTAGAAATTGGGAATTTTACTGAGACTTTCACATTAAAGAAATCTGTGGCCGCTCATGGTAGTGTCTCTGATCAGGCCCTCAGGAGGATGAAGCAGGCAATTCATGAATATAGATGATCCTGGGGTAGAATATGCTATCAAAGTCAGCCTGGGCTATGGATCAAGGCCTTGTCTCAAATAGAAAAGCATGAAGATTCATTGAAGTGATCAAAGAGGCACCCCTTCCCAGTCAGGAATTCTGAATTTACAGCAGCTTTTCAAGATGAGTGTTTTGGTTTGAGTATAGATGTTGACAGTTTGGATGACCTGCAGAAGTCTTTTAGTTATGTGTATGGATGCTTTGTCTGCATGTATGTGCTCCATATGTGTTCCTGCAGAGGGCAGAAGAGGACATTGGATCCCATGGAACAGGCATTACAGATGATTTATGAGCTTCCATGTAGGTGCAGGGAATAAATCAAACAAGTGTTCTTAACCACTGAGCCACTTCTCTTGCCCCCAGAACCTTCTAATTAAAATATATGTGTGTATGTATATATGTGTATGCATATTTATATTATTAGATATATAATGTGTATGGGTGTTTCTTGCATGTTTATCTAAGCACCACTGTGTGCCTGATGTCTGGAGGCCGGAATAGGATGTTAGATAGTTGTGATCTACTATATGTGTGCTGGGAATTGAAACCGGGTCCTTTGGAGTAGTGGCCAGTGCTCTTAATACCTGAACCATTTCTTTAGCCCCAGCTGTAAGAACCTTCTAACACAAAATAGGAACACAGGCTTAGCCAGCATAGTGCCTCTGAGGTACCTCTCCAGTCCAACTCATCCTTAAAATTCTGCTGCACTCTCCCCACAAGGGCTGAGCTGGTGTATGTGTGAATGCCTTTTCTGCACCGTGTATTGTAGTGCTTCTGTGTGAGCACTTGATGCAGATCCATTCATTGTTTTCTCGGGTCTCTACAGCTTTCCACTGAGTCTAGGCAGAAGTCTGTATGACTCCATAACTCTTACATCTCTTACATTCTGCAGGTTTGCTAAACCTGCATCATGGGATGGTACCATGGTCTGCTACCAGCTCAAGCAGTAACTGGGGTGACTTGGCCTCAGCTGCTATGGCCTTTGAGGGCCTAGGCAGTAGAGGACAGTGAAACAAATCATGGGAAAACATTTTGCTAGGATGCTTTATGGCCATGTAGTAACACACCTAGAGAGCTTCTGTGAACATGTGTTATTGAGCCCCACTCCTGATGCAGCAGGTTCTTAGACATACCCCCTGCACCTGTATCACTCGTCCACATGAGGTTCCAGGGATGCAAATAGTCTAGGGATTGTACTCTGAGGACCTATGATTCAGAAGCAAGTCACTGAGGACTTTTTGGAGCACACAAGAGGTGCAGAAGGTAGGCAAGTTGCTTCTTTTCCCAAATCCCCTTAGGTTCCTTCACTGGCCATATTCCATTCCAGGCCAAGAAGTGGTACATGGCTACAACTCTACTGACAGTGAGTGAGTGACTGGTTAGAACATGCCAAGGACGCAGGGGAGAGAATGTTAAAGTGGTTAGGCTTGGAGGCAGGGGGTGCTAGTCTGTTCCTAACTAGCTATAGGACTATGTCTTAGTCGATATTCTTTTAGATGGAATACTCAAGGCTGGTCCTTGCTATAACTCACAATCTGGAGATCCAAGAGCTCTGCCTTTTGTTTGCAGACCCTTGACTGTTTCTCCTCAAGGCAGGTGGATCACGAGCATGTAAGCATGGGGGTATACCTGCTGCTGGTCTGAGAACAACCTCAATGTTGGTCCTAAATGTCCACTTTGGTTGAGACGGGAGTTCTTGTTATTCACTGCTGCTTACACCAGACTAGCTGATGTGCAAGCTTCCGGGGATTCTTCTGTCTCCCATCTAGCCACAGGAATGCTGGGATTGCAGGCACAAGCTACTGATCTTGCTGTATGTGGGTGCTGGAATTTGAACACCCATCCTCATCGTTGCCGAGCAAGTGCTTTATCAACTGAGCCATGTCTCCAGCCCTGGCCACACCCTTTGAAGTGTTCGCCAGGCTGAGGGCCAGACTTCTAGCATATAAAGTTTGGGTTTTCAACACAGTGGAAGTCATGGTAGACCATGAGCTAGCTTCTGCTCAGCCCTGTCTGAAGTTGAGGTATCAGTAGTCCTTGTTCCTAGGGTTGTTGAGGGATGAGATAAGAGAAATTGGTCATGAGACATCTAAGCAAGCCCAGGGCATCTTGACCTTGAAGTCAGCTCTCACTTTCTCTTTCCTGGGAACTGAATTCTTGTCAGCAGTTGTCATTCAGATCAAAAGTGCTTATGTTCTCTGCCCAGATGTTGGTTTTCCCAGAATCTGTGATTTCCTGGGGAATTATTCTGTGTCCTGGACTATTGTTGGGAAAGGTATTTTTATACAAAATAGATACGGGGATGCACAGAGAGTGGTCAGAACACGAGTCATTCTTCACGATGGTAAACTGAGCATCTGAAACTCAGTAGGAGACCATTGGCTACAGCCTTTTTGATAATACCAGCAAGAACCCCACTGGAGCCCGGATGTAGAGAAGAGCTTGCTCAATTCAGGGCATGGTCAGATGCCCACCCCTGTAAGCACTCTTCAAGCAGCTGTCTTGACGGCAGGTGCCTAGAGTCAGGCCTGGAGAAGGCTGTATTGGTACCCAGCATTTCACATCTTTACCTTCCCGGCTTTTCTTGTCTCTTTTCACATCCAGAACTCTCAATGCCTTCTGATCAGTATGAGCTGCAGCTTCAGAACAGCATCCCAGATCCTCAAGGAGACCCTAACCGGCCTGTGGCGGTCCTGACACAGGAAACATCGAGGGTCACTGCCATGCAGATGGGACAGAGCAACCTGGTCCTGGGCCACAGGAATATCCTCTACTCTGGCACTGTGTCATGCCTACTACTTTGAAGCCAAGTTGTTTTTCTCCTTTAAAGCCAGCCAGGACTAAAAATAGCACTGTTTTCCCCATCTGCCTGAAAATCAGAAAGAACCTAAATAGCAACCCGCTGAGTGGAATTGCTCACCTCTGTGCGTGACTCAGAGAGACTCCCAGAGATGGAGTCTGTGGCAGAGGCACACATCATTCCAGGCTTCTGGAAGCTTCTCAGGAACTACAGCCCCCTTGTAGGGGACCTGGCAGATTCTGTGTGAATACTGGCATATAGGTTGTTGAGAATCCAAGATTGATTGTATGCCATGTGGTTCCTGAGGTCTCTTGCAAAGACCCTGGTTTTTAGGGTAGTACAGCAAGGGTCTTTACTCTCCCACACCTTTGCTCTAATTGGCCTAAGCTAGAGGTTCTGAACCCACCTCTCAGTGTACATGGTATCTGCATGTGCTCAAGCCACGTGAGTCAGACTGGAGCCCAAGCTGCTTTTTTTAAATTTTGTCTCTTAAGTTTTGTACCTTAATTAAGAATTCAGGTATCCGCATGCAAGGAGCTTCCAGGCTGCCCAACAGCACCATCTATGTGGTTGAAGCCGGGTACCTAGGTAAGTGTGGCCCCCTGGGGGGGACATTGATAGCTTGTGACTTCATCAGTTCAAGAAATCAAAAAGTACAAGCAAGAACTGCAGTTCAGCTTGGCAGTATGTGTCTTAGTTAACACGAACCTGACCACATCCTCTGTCTGCCAGATTCAGGGGCATCAGTCCTCAGCCCCAGCATCATGCAGACCTGGCTGTACCTGACAAGGTTGGGGACCCTGGTGCTCAATTACAGAGCATCCTTAGGTTGACATAACAGTTGGCAGTGCCTTGGCCAGGAAGAAGAAGGAGGAGGCATTAGAGAGAGGAGGAAACCATCTGTAGCAGTAAAACACTCTGAGGTCCACTAGGGTGTAAGAGCTTCAGTGATAGTCAGCACCAAGACCTTTGGGATATATATGTCATGGGTGCCACCATGGCAACATTTCTTGGGGTGTGAGGCAACTCACCTGTGGAGTACACTGCCAAAGTTCAGTCAGAAGAAGGATGGCCAGATGGGCAGCAAAACCTTTAGGGACCTCTTGTCAGAGAGCTTGTGAGCCTGGAGGGTGACCATTTGTGTCTCAGCAGCATCCTTTACCTGATTGGTCTGTGATGAGACTTAGCTTCACAGCAGAGGCCATTAAAGACAGGTGGCAAGATTGTGGTGGGAATAAACACCAGGGCAGAGGAAAGACTTCTGGAGATTCTGTGTATGACAGGTGCTGTGTCAGACTGAACTTCTGTGGTGGGAAGGGTGAAGAGAGTGAACAGCTTGGCTGGCATTGTGCAGATGAGAAAGCAAACAGTATCGTGGGAATAGAAGTAGCTAGTCTGGCATCCTAGCTCAGTACCCTCAGAGCCCAGACCCAGATACACCTTGTCCAGAGCTCTCCAGTGCCCTAGCCTGGGATACAAAACCTGTCCTAGCTTCAGGCTAGTCCTGCTATGCCTGAGAGCTTGAACCTCCTGTCACTACAGATGAGACACCGTATCACCAAAGTGTACACATCCTCCAGCCTCAGAGTCTAAACAGCCATGGTCTTGGCCCGACCCGTGTGACCATGGGATAGACTTACATTGGCCAGTGAATAGACCAGCTGAGGATTCAGAGTCTAGATGGGCTGTGGCCTCAGGCTAGATCTACTGGAACCTTGGACATTGAATAGGCCTAGCTGTTGGGGCTTCTACATGGGTGGGGGTATATAGTGCTTAGCCTCAGGTTCTTTCTCAGTCCTGCTGACCTTGTAGCCTGAGTGTTGAACTCCCTACTTCCTGTTCTAGGGTTCACAGTCCACCCTGGTGACAGATGGGTGCTTGAGACTGGGCGTCTATATGCAATCACCATTGAAGTATTTGATAGGTCCAGCAACAAGGTCTACCCATCTGACGTGAGTGCCTGCTGGGGTTCTGATGGAGGGATGCTGAGGGATCAACTGTCCAAGGAGGAGCCAATGCCACAGGGTCCCCACATACGCAGATTCAGAGCTTCCTGTGGTACTTTTAGGCTGTGGAGATGGTATCATGGGGTCCCTGATAGACTGTGAGCTGGTGTCATCCCCTCCTGCAGGGCTGGGGGTAGATAGCCCAGGCAGCAGGGCCTATGTGGATAGTGGTAGTGGTGGTAGTTCTGTGTGTTCCTGTTCCTTACATGGGGTCCTGAGGTGAGAGTTCATTTTGCTTTGGAGATAGTCTGGGGTCTGGATATACCTACTACCTTCCAGAAGCTCTCAAGTGACCAAGGCTACCATGTTTAGCTTCTGAGAAGGCATACAAGATGAGTTAGGGAGTGGTGGTCATCCTTTTGTCACGAAGGAGAGCCTTCCAGTGCCCTCACACAGGTCATAGTCTATGGTGTTAGGGATGTTAGGAGGCCAGCCTTCTTCTGGCAGAGGTCCTTCTGTCCCCTGCTGAACAATGACTAAACAATGGCTATGCTGTGAGAGACTCAGCTCTCTATTATAATTCATTGTTTCATCGCAACGCCAGGATCTGGGAGAGTGACAGTAGACTACCTTGAGGATCACACATCCAGCTAGAACTGTGGTGCTGGGTCTTGGGTCCTAATGCTAGGCAGGGAAGAGTCAGAGCACTGGGGCCCCATTCCTTCTGCCTGCTTTGTTTAAGAGGCTTTGGTACCACGGAGGCTCCCAGCCTGGCCTGGCTACTGTTTTGGAACTCTCCCAGTCTCGTGATGTCACACTCATCTTTCCCATCCCGCTTACCTTTCCAGAACATCCGAATTGAAGCTGTGATTCCTGCTGAGTTCTTTGAGGTTCTGTCCTCTTCCCAGAATGGGTCTTATCATCACGTCAGGGCGATCCAGAGTGGCCAGACAACCATCAGTGCTACCCTCACCTCTGTGGTGGACCAGGTGAGTTGATGTCAATCCTTTTCCGTATCCTAGGTCCTGAGCACCCATAACCCAACTCTGAGGGTAGAAATGTCAATTGGCACGTACTTTGCCCCAGGACAAACTCTGCCTCTGTTCTGGTTCCTAAGGAGACTTTCCCACTTTGGGCTTGAGCTCCAGATGCCCTTGGCTGTCCATAGCTTGTTGGGGATCTTCCTGTGCCATAAGCTTTCTCTTCCTGCACCCTGCACCCATCCTATAAAAGTGGTCTACACCTTCTAAGATGGAATACAGATTTTGTTTGGGGGATAGCATGGGCAGGAGGCCCACTTGCTTGAGTCCTTCAGCCTTTGTACTGAAAAGCCTCTTCAGCCCTAGGGGAGCAGTATTTTACTAGTCAGAACATTGCAAGGGTATTCCTCTCCCCTGCCTCATACAAGCCCTCCAGACCTGAGAGAGGCAGCGTGTGGAGAGGTAGAAGGGCCTGTACCCCAGACAGTGATGCCTCATCACTTTAGCTCTGGGTTTGGGTGAGATGCTCCAGGCCTCAGTTTCTTTATCTGTAAACTGGGGACAACCACATCCATCCTGTGAGGAATACCTTAGGACTCAAATAAGTAGAATGTGCACGAGTAACCATTAAAGATCAAGAGCAAGCCTCCCCTGCCAAGTCACTATCTTTTCTATATTCTTAGGAATACAGCTACCTTTTATGGACTGGTCCTCAAGGAGGGGCAGGGTCTAGGTGACAGAAAAATAACTAGTGATAATGTGGTTGCCATGGTGATACACAGCAATCTCATCTTGCAGGATGGAGGGGTCCATGTGCTTCAGGTACCTGTGTGGAACCAACAGGAAGTGGACATTCATATCCCCATCACACTCTATCCCAGCATCCTGACATTTCCTTGGCAACCAAAGACAGGAGCCTATCAGTACACCATAAAGGTGGGTGAGAGACTGCTTTAGGTATTTTCTTTGAGGCGTTTCCTTGGGATGATGACTCTGTTTTCATCCTTTTCTATATTCATTTATTGAGACAGGATCTGAACTATGTTGGTCTCACAAGGTTGGCTTAGAACGAACTATCCTGGTCTGCTATCTTTGTCTAGTGCTGAGACAGGTGTATCTCACATCTGACTGTCCTCTTGCCTTCAGTTTTATTCTCGAGAGGTAGGAGATAGCTTTAAATGAGACAGGCCTTATGATTTTTATGATTCCTCAGTATCCATCGCAGCAATGTAACAAGATAATAACACCCACAGTAACTGTCCTGGTTGGTTTTGTTTGTTTGGTTTTTGTCAAGTTAAGCTAGAGTCATCTGAGAAGAAGTAACCAGGTTGGCCTGTGTAAGCCTTTGGTGTATTTTCTTGATTGATGATTGAGCTGTTGGGCAGGTGGTTCTGAGGTGTATAAGAAAGCAAACTGAGTGGGGCATGGTGATGCACACCTTTAATTCCAAAGCCCAGGAGGCAAAGGCAGGCATATATCAGAATTCAAGGCCGGTCTGGTCTATATTGGGAGTTCTAAGACATCCAGGGGCTACACAGAGAGACCCTGACTCAAAATAAATGAGCAAACAAACAAACCAAATAAATACATAGGAAGGAAGGGAAAGAAAGGGACTAAAAGAGCAGCAAAATGAGCAAGTCAGTAAGCAGCATCATCCATGGCTTCTGCTTCAGTTCCTGCCTCCAGGTACCCTGACTTCCCTCAGTGATAGACTGTACCTGGAAGTATAAGATGAATGCTTTTGGTCCTGATGTTTATCACAGCCACAGAAAGTAAACAAAGGCAGTAATTTAAACACATGCCTAGCCTTATTGCCCATTGTTGCTCCCAATCCCATGTGGTACTAATTGTCAGGGGTTCTCTCAGCTAGGGCTCAAGACCCAATAGTCAGCCAGGTCCCATCACTCCTGTGGTTCACCTGCAGAAATGATGATAGATATCTTGTCTACACTGGCCTCTGCACACGAAAGTCTGTCACCTTTCTTTACTTGGGATTTCAGGTTGATCTCTGACCTAGAAGAAGGCCTGTCATTAACTCCCTGAAGAGGATTAGGAACAGGCAGAGCTGTGTGCTGGGTGTGCTTGTGAATTCTGCAAGTGGATCCATGATCAGGGTGGTTTCTACCCAGGTCTGAGCTCTGGGAAGTGACACTGTCATTGCTTTGTGTTTGTATGTTAGTAGCCAGGTCCCCAGAACAGGAGGACTGGAAATGAGATAGGATGGAGGAAGGAAGGGCCAAAGGGAACATCTGAGGAAATGTTCGCTTGTACCATACTTCTATGGGTAGGCCTTTGGCTGTGTGTATAGGTATAATTTTTTGAATGTATGAACATGTGTGTACTTGGTATCCTATGTGTGTGTTTGAGAATGAGCTAATGAGTGTGTGTGCATATGTGTATGTGGTATTTATGGTGTCAACGTAAGTGAGTGTGAATGTAGGTATCAGATGTGGCTGAGTGTAAGGAGACATGCGAATAATGAGTGTGAACAGGTGTGTGAATGTGTGGCAGTGGGCATTTGTGAGCAGAGGTGTGTATGTGTGCATACTCACAGTTCAACCTGGGTATGAATAGATGAGCATGTTTGTGTAATAATGAAGAAGAGTGCATACTTGGCCCCACCCTGTATTTTCCCAGGCAGGGAAGGGTAAGGGGCTGATGGATGGATCCCATGTCATTTTCCTCCCTAGGCCCAAGGGGGCAGTGGGAACTTCAGCTGGTCTTCGTCAAGCTACATGGTTGCCACCGTCACTGTCAAGGGCGTCATGACCACGGGCAGTGACACTGGACTCAGTGTCATCCAGGCTCATGATGTTCAGAACCCTCTCCATTTCGGTGAGATGAAGGTAAGATGATGATGGGACATCAGGTGGAGAGGTTCAAGGTAGAGGCTCCAGTCACCCCTCAGGTCTCATTCGGAGCTCTTATTCCTCTGCCTGTAGTTGTAGGTGTGGGGGGGATTGATGGACCCATCCCAGCCCTGATCTCAAGGAGTCAGGCCCCATAGAACAGACTGCATGGCTACTCGGAACATGATGGGGGGTTCCCACTAGCTGTGCTCTAGCCACTCAGGCTCCACCTCAGGCTTTGTTGCCAGTCAGGAGAGGGAGACTGGGATAGCCTTCCTTACTGGGAGGAGAGGCCCGGGGAGGAAAGGGCTGGGAAAGAATCCTTGCTGCCACCCCCATCCTTTCCAGGCACTGGCCCTGCCCTTCACCTTATCCTCATAGGAAACACCAGCAGCCCCACTAGTCTTCCTCCTGATGGGCCTGGGCTCTTCTCTTTCTCTAGGTGTATGTGATTGAGCCCAGCAGCATGGAGTTTGCCCCGTGCCAGGTGGAGGCTCGAGTGGGCCACACCCTGGAGCTGCCCCTGACAATCAGTGGTTTCATGCCTGGCGGTGCCAGTGAGGTGGTTACCCTAAGCGACTGCTCCCATTTTGACCTGGTGGTGGAAGTGGAGAACCAGGGTGTGTTCCAGCCATTGCCAGGTAAGCCAGTAGCAGAACAGGAGCCAAGACGGTGTGGGCTCTCTGTGGGCACCAGAGGGGCCACAGCCTAAGATGTGGCACTTGCTCCTGCTCCTGTCCTTTCTGAATCCTGTCTGATGTGTTACCCTTGACAAGCTTGTATGCCCTGTATCTCTTTGATGTCTGAAAGGAGTCTCCTGTCCTTGTTCATATTTCAGTTCATGAAGTGGAACAGTTGCTCATATATGATGTGTACTTGGGGTTTGGATTAGTTCAATCATAATGCCTGTGACAGGCTCAGGCCACCCCGAGTCCATTCTTCTTAGCCTCCTGTCTTGGGGGTAGTATTGGTGGTGGCTGACAGTGTCAGCCTTGCATGTGTGAGGCAAGCAGTTTTCCTGGCTGGCCTCATTGAGGCTGTGTACCTGTAACAGGGGCAGCTTGGTTGTTCCAGTGGTCATATAGGACCTGTGCAGGGACGGGACACAGACCTGCAGCTCCAGTTTCTGTGAGCTAAGACCTCCCAGAGGCATGGATCCAGGCAAGGTGAGGATTAGCACTGATTTACAGGTTAGGCAATCTGTGGTATACTTGGATTATGAGTAGAAACGGGCCATAGGTAGGGTGTTGGCGAGAACCAGGACAGCATTTGGTGAATGTCCCCATGCCATGCCCCAAAGGTGGGAGCTTTTGTAGGACTTAGCACATGGTGAGCCTAGAACATCAGCGCCTATACCATCAAATACTGAAGGTATTTGAGCAGAAAGGGATGTAAGTCTCAAATGGCACAGATACTTTCCAGGTGACTATGTGTCCCTGTGGTTGTGATGACATCCAGAGCTGCACAGAGGAAGAGGACATCTCTGAAAAGTGCCCAAGCAAAGTCACAGGCTGGTGGTCTTAGAAAATCTATTGTTTTCACATGTTAGCTATTTTGAATGGAAGAGGTGGCATTTTGAGGGAGAGAAACAGCTGGTGGCCAGAGATTGACTGTCCCCTGTACTGCCCTCACGCCCATCCCACGGGGTTTCAGTAGGGTGTCATTCAGGCTTCTGGGGCTAGTACACACGGAGACTCTGGGGCCTGTAATTCAGCATTCCCAGGGCTGATAAGCCCCTTCACTTACTGGCATTCTGTTCAACCTCTCTGAGCCTCAGTGTCACCACGGGTCCCAGGGAAACAGGCACGAGAGTTACATGTGGACATCCCTCTGAACATCTTGAGGATTTCTCAGGGAGTCTTGATTCTGAAGATAGCAGCCAAAACAAATCCTTTGTGGTCAGAATTTCCCTCAGAAAGTGCTGGAATCCCCCTCGGTGTACAGGGTGTAGAACTTACCTAGGAAACTTGAACTTTGGTTCAGGGCACAGGGTACTCACGGAACCCAACAGGCTGGGGCAGCAGATGTCCTTGTATGTGTGAGGGCCACCCTAGGGTACACGTGACTCATGGGGCACGTATGGTCCTCAGGATACGTTAGTAGTGTCTACCCCTACAAGCCAGGGTACATGCCACAGGACTGTCCGAGAAAGGGACTGTATCAGGTTCCCTATTGGCAAAAGCAATATGGAGTGGGGCAAGTATTTGCAGATCATATTTCTGGTAGGGGGTTAAGATCTAGACTATGGAAAGAAATTCTGTGTGTCAACAATAAAACAGATAAATGATTTAATAGCTCACAAAGAACTTGAGCACATATTTCTGTGAATGTTACATGTAGTAGTCACTATTGTAGGAAAAGATGCCCACCCTCATCAGTCATCTCAGAAATTCAAAGCAAAACAAGGACAGGGCTGGAGAGATGGCTCAGTGGTTAAGAGCACATGCTGCTCTTCCAGAGGACCTATGTTTGTTTCCTAGTACCCACATTAGGTACCTTATGACTGCCTAACTCCAATTCCAGGGATCCAGCGTCCTCTTCTGGCCTTCATGGGTATTGCATGCATATATGTGCATTGCATATACATAATTAAAAGTAAAATAAATCTCAAAGAAGAAACATAAAGAAAACTTCTCCCATTGAGGCAGCTACTATTACAGCAACAGAAAACATCAAGGTTGTGAGGAAACTGGAATCCGTGCTCTTTCGGAGGATATTAAAAGGCAGCTACTGTGGAAAACATTGTGGTGGATTCTCAGAAGTTTAAGTAGAATTACTGTACGATCCAGGAAGTTCCATTTCTAGACGTAGACCTAAGGTTATTGAAAGTACAAATGCAAAGACATCTATGTCAACCCAGAGCAGCATTATTCACTCATGCGGGCAGTCAGGTGCCATCAGTAGAGGACTGGGCTCAGGGCAGGTTCCGTCCCAAGAAGGAAGGAAGCTCTGATGTGGCCCGGCCCTGAGAAGCCCTGAGGATGTTGTGCCAAGTGAGCAAAGGCAGTCACAGGAAGATAAATGCTTTGTGATTCCACTTAGGTGACAAGAAACAGATAATGGTGAATGTCAGGGTAGAGCAGTTAGTACTAGACATTTCAGGTTTGCAAGTCAAAGGGCCTGGGCAGCACTGGTGATGGGACCTCACAATTCTGTGGCAAGTGGCTATATATAAGAATATTGAGAGCCAGGCGGTGGTGGCGCACACCTTTAATCCCAGCACTTGGGAGGCAGAGGCAGGCGGATCTTTGTGAGTTCGAGACCAGCCTGGTCTACAAGAGCTAGTTCCAGGACAGGCTCCAAAGCCACAGAGAAACCCTGTCTCAAAAAAAAAAAAAAGAATATTGAGGTGGGATTTTTTTTTCCCTTGAGACCAGGTCTCACTATTAATCACTGACCAGCCTAGAAGTCACTATGTAGAACAGGTAGATCTTGAGCTCATAGAGATCTGCCTGCTGCCTCTACCTCCAGAGTTTGGGGATTAAGGGTCTGCAGCACCATGACCAGTCATCCCCACCCCCTTTTGTTTAAGGTGAGAAGTCCATATGTTGTGTACTTCATCATAATTCAAATTTGTTTTAGTTTGGTTTCTGTGACTGTGATAAATACCATTGCCAAAAACATCTTGGGGGAAGGAAAAGGTTTCTTTGGCTTACAGGTTACAGTCCATTTTTCAGGGAATCCAGGGGAGGAACCTGGAGGCAGGAACTAAAGCAGAGGCTATGGAGGAACACTGCGTGAACTTGCTCAGCCTGCTTTCTTATACAGCTTGGGACCATTTGCCCAGGGATGGCACCACTCACAGTGGCCTGGGCCCCCCCACACCTGTAATTAATCAAGGAGATTCCCCCCAGACTTGCTCAGTTGTCCACAGTCAACCTGACAGAGGCAGTTTCTTCACTGAGTGTCCCTCTTCCCAGAGTTACTCATTTGTGTCATACTGACAAAAACAAACCAGCCTAACATCAATACGATTCTTACAAACTTAATTAAAATTTGATGGAAAGTGATAGCACAGATGAAAAGCAGCTGCCAGCGAGGCAAATTGGGAGAGACACTTAATCTGCACACATGCCTGCCTGCCACTGGTCTGCCTCCTCTGGACACAGCCAGCAGAAATGGCTGGGGTACGCCATCTAGAGATAGACCTGTATATGTCCACTTAGATACTGTGTAGCACAGCCCCAACTAGAGCCACCTGGAGTGTTCACGGTGGCAGGAGGGAGTCTTGCTGTGCTTCCTCATCCCCACACAGAACAGTGTACAGAAATGTGAGTAAAGGCTACCTGACTGTGAAGACTCTGAGAACTTTGCAGAGGAAGACAGACCAGGTAGCCTGCGATCCCCACCCTACTTTATCTAAGCCGTAGACACAGCATAGTGAGCCTGTTCTGATGAAAGTTGGGAGGGATTGGAGACCAGAAGAGGCCCCTAGGGGAGGCTAAGCTGCTGGTAAGCTCTCTCTTGACGTAGATCCCGGACACAGGGTATGTTGAGCATGTGGGGGAAGATGGGAAATCATTGCCGATTGTATGTATATCAGACCTGTGAGTAATATACATGAATTATACTTGAATTTGCTTTTGTTTGTTTGTGTTTTGGGGTGCTGGTGATGGAATCTAGAGCATTTTTCGTGCTAAGTAACTGTTTTACCACTGAGCTACAGCTCCTACCCTCTAGAAAATTTAAATTATAACCAAATCGAGTTGTATATGAAGTCCAGAATGGTAAGGGGTCATGGGCCTGCCATGCCTTCCCCTTGAAGAACAAGTTTGTGTTTACTTTTGGTTTTCTTTGTGCAGGGAGACTGCCACCAGGACCTGAGCACTGCAGTGGGGTGAAGGTGAGAGCTGATGCCCAGGGATCTACTACCCTCCTTGTGAGCTACACACATGGTCATGTACACTTGGGTGCGAAGATCACTCTTGCCGCCTACCTGCCCCTCAAGGTGAGCTGTGCTTGTCCTTTGTCATCTGCTTTTTCTTAAATGTTCCTGGAGGTTTGGTGAGGATGGCCTCTCTCCTTAGATCCTGTACTGTCTTTTGTTTGTTTTTGTTTTGTTTTGTTTTTTTGCAAACTTGACAACTATCTAGGGTCATATGGGAAGAAGGAAATTCAGTTGAGAAAATGTTCCCATCAGAAAGTCAGTGGAGTATTTTCTTGAATAATGATTGATGTGGGTAGTCCTGGGTTGTATAAAAAGCAGGGCGAGCAAACCAAAAGAGTTTCTTCATGGTCTCTGCTTCAGTTCCTGATTCCAGGTTCCTACCTTGAGTTCCTATTCTGTCTTCTTCATGATGGGCTGATTGGGATGTGTAAGCCAAATAAATCCTTTCCTCCCCAAGTTGCTTTTGGCCATGGCATTTACCACAGCAATGGAAAGCAAATCAGAACAGATCCCAACTGCTATCATTTGTGTCTGTGGGCAGTCTGTGAGTTCCTTAGCACCGCAGCCACGCCGGTCTATAAGGACAGTAGGGGGCTTTCTGTCCAAAGTTACGTGAGTTTTCCCTTTGCTCACTGGAGACTTTGAGGACCTCATGGTTTTACTGGCCAGCTCACCATTTACTTCAGTGAATGTTGAGAACCTGAAGTGTGTGCTAGGCACTGTTCTTTGCCAAATACAAAACAGACCCAGGAACTGGCCCTGGGTGCCTCTACACACTGATGGGAGAGATAAAGCCATAAACCCAGGTGTGGTGATGCACACCTGTAAGCCCAGCTCTCAGGTGCCTAAGGCAGGAGAATCTTGAGTTCCAGGCTGCCTGGACCTTGTCTCAGTAATGAGACCCATTTCAAAAAAAGAAAATAAAACAGCCCAAATAAACAGGAAAACAAAAGGAAAGTGGGGAGAGCTCCATGGAGCACGAAGGGCAGCAAACCGGCCCTGACTGAGCTGGCCAGGAGCTTCCCGTGAGAGCTATCTTCTGCTCCACACTCCACCAGATTCCTCACCGATGAGCATGCCAGGCAAGCACTCAACCACATCCTCAGACCTTTATAGTTTTATTTTGGGCTGGTTTTGCTATGAAGCCCAGTTTGGACTCAAATTCAAAATCCTCCTTCCTACCTCTACTTTCTAATAGTGGTGATTACAGCCCTATGCCTCCACACTGGCTGGTTTCTGTTTTTTAAAGCACAGGATGGGGTGGGGGTAGAGGGAAGCTAAAGAGAAGGTTCCATGGTTAAAGCAAGAACTGGAGAATTGACTCAGTGGTTAAAACTCTAATTCTCTGTTTCTCCAGAAGACCCAGGTTTAATTCCCAGCATCCACATGGTGGCTCACAACTACTTGTAAATACAGTCCTAGGGCATCAGAGCCTTCCTTGTCCTCTGTAGACACATGTGGTACATAGACATACATGCAAGTAAAATACTCATAGAATATAATGATAGTAGTGTGGTAGAGATGAACGTATGTGATCAGTATTATGTTCTGCATTCAATATTTGGTCAGTACTGTGTTGGGACCTATACAAGGTGTCATCCTGGCTCCCAAGCACCCTCTCTGTGGATATCAATGTATTTCTGACTGTTACCCGTAAGAAGTGAGCATGAAGAACATGTATTTGTTCATGAAGTTGTTTCTCTCCCATTTAGTCTGTGTTAGGGTAGATCCTAGGTAGGAATTTCTTGGACTTTACTTTTTATTTTGACAAGGTCTCTTTATGTAACCCTTGCTGACTCATGACCAGTCTGGCCTTGAACTCATAGAAACCCACTTGCCTCTTCCTCTGCTTCCTGAATGCTGGATTTAAACTATATACCACCATGTTTGGCATTCCAGTGTTCTCCCTACTCCAGTGAGGACCCAATTCTTTCCAAAATTCCTAGTTCATGGCCACCCAGTACATACTGCCCACATGGAGACTAAATTTCAAAGAGGTTACAGGGTTTGCTTGGCATGCCCACCCAAGAAGGGTGAGGACCTGCCTTCTGGATGCTCAACATTGTCTGGTCACCTCCTCCCAAAATAATACTAAGCCTCCCCTTCTTCCTCCAGGCTGTGGATCCCTCTTCTGTTGCTGTGGTAACCCTGGGCTCCTCAAAGGAGATGCTGTTTGAAGGAGGCCCCAGGCCATGGGTCCTGGAACCTTCCAAATTCTTTCGGAATGTTACTTCTGAAGACACAGGCAGCATTAGCCTGGCTCTCTTGGGTACTCCAGCCTCCCGAAATTACCAGCAGCACTGGGTCCTTGTGACCTGCCAGGCCTTGGGTGAACAGGTAAGTGAACAGCTGCCCTCAGTCCCATCTTGCCTACGGGGAGCTAGAAAATCTACTCAGTTCTCAGAGAGCCCTGAGAGTGTTGTTTCTGTTGTATCCATTTTACAGACAAGACAGCCCAACGTGACCTATTGGATTCCACAGCACATACCAGCTTTCTTAAAGCCAGCCTGTAGGTGGCCTCCTCTTTCTCGGGGCTATAAGTAGGAGTGGAAGTTTGAAATTAGGGATCATAAAGCCCCATGTTTTAAGGTTGGGCCACTGTGAAAAGGATTGAAACCCTTGACCTGGGTTCTTTCCAACTTGTTCTTTCTGGATGGGGTGGATGTGGCATTGCCTATGTGTGTGAACGTCTTGTTTTGAGATAGGTTCTCCCTATGCAGCCTAGGCTAGCTTGAATGAAATTCACTCTATAGTTAGGTAGCACAGGCTGACCTTGAACTCATCTTGCTTCAGCCTTCCACGTGGTGGGATTATAGGCATAAGTTGTTATGCTCAACTATGATGTTGTTAAGGGTTTGTTTTCAGCTTTGTTTTTCGTCTGAGAACCAAAAAATATCGGAAGGTTAAGCTGACTGAGCCAAGTGTACCATATCCTTAGTTACTATGGGGCCTGCTTGGCTGGGGCAGCACCCTTTTCCAGGCCAGGCCAAGGCCTTGTGCTCTTCTGGCTTCTGACAGATGTGTTTCTGGGAGCCCTCAGACAGGAACAAAAAGTAGGCAGAACTGTGAACTGAAAAGTGAGAGTGATTCCTACTTGTCTACAAGTAAAAAGAATATGGATTCAGCTGAAGATGATGCACTTGCACACCCTGACAGGTGTGTGGTACAGGGTCAGCTGAAGATGATGCACTTGCACACCCTGACAGGTGTGTGGTACAGGGTCAGCTGAAGATGATGCATACTCACACCCAGACAGGTGTGTGGTACAGGGTCAGCTGAAGATGATGCACACTCACACCCAGACAGGTGTGTAGTACAGGGTCAGCTGAAGATGATGTAGTCACACACCCTGACAGGTGTGTAGTACAGATTCAGCTGAAGATGATGCACTCGCACACCCTGACAGGTGTGTAGTACAGGGTCAGCTGAAGATGATGCACTCGCACACCCTGACAGGTGTGTAGTAAAGATTCAGCTGAAGATGATGCACTCGCACACCCTGACAGGTGTGTAGTACAGATTCAGCTGAAGATGCGCACTCACACCCTGACAGGTGTGTAGTACAGATTCAGCTGAAGATGCGCACTCACACCCTGACAGGTGTGTAGTACAGATTCAGCTGAAGATGATGCACTCGCACACCCTGACAGGTGTGTAGTACAGATTCAGCTGAAGATGATGCACTCGCACACCCTGACAGGTGTGTAGTACAGATTCAGCTGAAGATGATGCACTCGCACACCCTGACAGGTGTGTAGTACAGATTCAGCTGAAGATGATGCACTCGCACACCCTGACAGGTGTGTAGTACAGATTCAGCTGAAGATGATGCACTCGCACACCCTGACAGGTGTGTAGTATAGAGTCAGCTGAAGATGCACACTCACACCCTGACAGGTGTGTAGTACAGATTCAGTTGAAGATGATGCACTTGCACACCTTGACAGGTGTGTAGTATAGGGTCATTTGAAGATGATGCACACTCACACCCTGACAGCTGTGTCTGGCTTCCCTAGTTCAAAGCTCACTGCCTTGGTCAAAGGAGTGCATTTTGAAAAAGGCCCCACTAGAGATGCTAGTAATATAGGACAATATTAAGAACAAGACATGCATACTGCCAAATAAATAGTAAGACTAAGGGTAACAGTGAATCATGGCTTAGCTATATTGTTGGGCTTCCTGTCTTAGCCTGTAGAAGTTGGACTCTCAACAAGGTCTGATCTAAGGCCTTCCTCACTTCCAGCCCTCTGGGCTCCCCCATTTGTGTCATGGGCAGACAGCCTGAAAGTCAAGAGGCACCTCCCTCCTCCCACCTCATGGTCAGGGAAGATAAGGGGTGCTGAAGCAGACTTTTGTGTCCTCAGCAGTTGTCTGTCTCTGAGAAGGCTGGGGATGCTCCCTCAGGCACAACTGTTAACTGTGTTGCATGTAAAACCAGGGGCTGAACTTGACTTCAGAGACTCCACTCTAGCAGCAAAAAAGGCTTTTCTGTTCGTGTGACAGTTCCTCTCCTGTCCTGTCCATGAGGTAGTGAGTGTGGCCTCTTTTCTCTGACTCAGAGGAGCATACAGGCATGGAGTGGGATGGTTCTGCCTGTGGCTCTCGCCTCTCCACTGATGTTGTCCTGTACAGCCTCTTTTCTGATCCATTCCTCCACAATTAAGGTTCCTTATCCTTCAGTGTGCAGATTCCCATATCTGTGCCTCACTGTGATGGGTTGAAATCAGTGCAGACTCTTTTTTGAAATGTTTAGGACCTCGTGGATTTGCAGATTCAGTTGTGAGGCTTTGCTCGTGTCCTGGGGAACCACAAGGTATCCCCTAACCTCTTCTCTGAGATGTTTGTAGACCATACTTGGGGCATAGGCATCATCATACGTCATATAGAAGTTAAGTCTCTGCTCAGAAAGGAGGGGACTGTGCTCAGGTGCCTACTGTTTCTCCTGCTCCTTTAGGTCATCGCCCTGTCCGTGGGGAACCGGCCCAGCCTCTCTAACCCCTTCCCTGCTGTGGAACCCACTGTGGTGAAGTCTGTCTGTGCCCCACCTTCCAGGCTCACCCTCATGCCCGTCTACGCCCTCCCGCAGCTGGACCTGTCCTGTCCACTGCTGCAGCAGAACAAGCAGGTGGTGAGTATGGCCCCTCCTGGGGAGGGAGGAAACATGGGCAAGAGGAATCTGACCCACTTCACCCATGGTCTTGAGTGTTCTGATAGCTGGGGCTCCACACGTAGGCACCCGGATCTCAACAGCCAGAGCTGCGCAAGATGTTTCCATTCCATGGTGGAATCCAGAGCCTACAGAGCTGGGAGACTTCCTAAAGTCCAGCTGCATAGTTGGTCCCCAACGTACAGAGACTTAGCTTCTGATTTCCTAGTTTATAGGGGTGGGAAGGTAACACGCACTTGTTATACTTGGAGTTTTGATCTTTTCCTAGGCCAGTAATAAGTAGCCCTTTTCCCCTTAATGCTGTGCAGAGTAAACCAGTCAGAGCACACAGTTGGATTCACTACCACGGGGGGAAGCTGATGCTCTGTGGAGCCCTGGAGTCCATATATAGCTCACGGAGCACCCCGTCTCATGTTAGAGTGTAGTCTTTGTGTTGGGCCATGTGCCCACCTGTTGGCTGATGTCAGTTAAGTAGAGTGACACAATAGGCTGGCTCTGAAATGGTGAGTTAACTCATGATGGGCTCATTGGGGGTGTGCCTTACCCTAAGTCCGGGAGCTTCTGCAATGGCCATATAGGATGCAACCCCTCCCTACCCAAATTTCTGAATCCAGATTCACTATTGCCCTCTGCTGGGCATATAAGGGGCTGTAGAATCCTTTTGTGAAGTGTTCTATGGTTTCAGTTGTTCAGGTGGGGTGTTCTCTGTGTACAGAGTGTGTGTTCAGAATGGGATTGGGAGCTGTGAGGAGAGGGGGCATCTACAGAATTGTATTGTCATGGGTCAGGACATTCCAAAGTAAAGTGTTGAGAGGGAAAGAAAGTGCATAGGCTTTTAAACAGCAGCTGTGCGGGGGAGGGGGAGCATAAAACCTACTAGTCGGCCTCCCCAGAAGCTGGGGTTGTCCAGTCCTCAGCTCTGGAACATCATAGTCCAGGGCCCTGAGTGCATCCTGCTCAGGGATTAGGGATAAACTAGCTTCAACCCTCTTTGGAGGAGGGAAGTTCTGGTTTCCTCATCCCTCCAGCACATACTTGTCTAGCAGGTTCTCCTGGTACCAGACTCTGGAATAAGAGAGTGTTGAGGAGGGTGAGGAGCCACTGGGAGACAGGCAGGCCACTGCAGAAATGCCACAGAGAGTATAGTTGGGAGGAGCCAGTGATACGAGGGAGGCAAGAGGTGGTTGCAGGGAGAACAGGATAAGGAGATACCAACCTAGTAGAGCCAAGGGAAAGGCCCCAGGGAGGTAAGACAGCAAGAGCAGTGACTCTGAGGTTGGGTCATGGTCTCCAGTATCCCACCTATCCACGTGGTGGCCAGGATAGTTCTGTGTGCTTGTAACCATTACCTTTTAGCCTCATTCCCCCCAACACCATGGCCATCTTTGAGGTGGGCAGAGTTGAAAATGCAGAACCACCTTAATCCATCTCCAAACATAGTAGTTCCTCCTGTGTCTCTGTGTTTCCTCCCCAAAGCCATCTCAGAGCAGATACTGCTCATCTCTGGGTGCCCAGGCCTCCTGCACACCTGAATGAACCTAATGATGTTGAGGGTGTCCACGGCCCATCCAGCTGTGGGGCAGGTGCTATGAGAGCTGGGTCCCTGGCGGGTGAAGGACAATTTTGCCTGTGATCCACACCCTTCTGTTCAAAGCTTGGTTAAGGGAGCTGCATAGCTGTAATGCATTGGGCTTGAGGACCAGCCTTCATTTTTCCTGCTGGAGTCAAGCAAGGCTGTTTCCCTTGCTGCTCTGGTGTGGATCTGTGGTTCTGCCTTCTGGCCTTTGCTTACACTGGAGCTAAGAATGAACACACCACAAACCTGCACTTATCCCTTCCACTTGCTTTACCTGGGCCGGAAATGGTGGTTTCGAGTAAGATGTGCAGCTTCTATATGCTCTCCACTGACTCTCTCATCAAGGTGGAGGGTGTTGCAGGCTCAGAATCTGCAGGTGGCTCAGTTCCAGTGTCTACTGCAGAGAAATCATCTTTTTCTGGCCTCTGAGTGGGGTGCTCAGGAGAAGACTTCTCTGTCTTGACTTGGAGACCAGTTGAGAAGAAATCCTGAACTCGTTTCCTGCTTCAAGCCTTTTTAGCTTTTGGTCACTGTATTATTGCACATTTATGGGGTACAGTGTGATTAATTCCATGCATTCTTGTAATGTGAGCTGTCAAATCAGGATGGGGAGTTCTTCCTCTCAAACATTGATGGTCCCATTGTATTTGGGAAGCTTCAGATTGTTCTCTTGTTATTCTTTATGTAAAATATTATTCTGGCATTTAGTTGCCTCTTTGCGTTGCAGAACCCCAGAGCTCACTGCTTTCTGTATTCAGTGCCTGCTTCCCATCCTCCTCCTGCCCCTCTCCTCTTCCCAGTCTCAAGTGACTCCCGCCTGCTCTACTCTGTTTCTGTATCATTTTAGCTGTCACACATATGTGAGAGCCCACATCACCCTCCTCCCTCTTTCTCTCTCTCTACCTGGTTTGTCGTCAAGTTTTACCTGTAGTCACATCTGGTATGTGTAGTTATCTTTGGTAGAGGGAACAACATTGCGCTAAGTTTGGATCTTCAGGAAACATCTGCCTGCTTCTGGGTCCCCTGCCAGAAGTAAAGAGCCAGAATCAATGCAGAAGTTCTACCATGATCCCAGCACGTGGGAACACTGGGTTCCCTCTTGCTGTGGGAGCCATCCCTTGATTGTGATAGAGGCCAACAATGGGGTTGTGTGACTGGATGCGGAGTCCAGAGAGTAGCCATTATAAATTATTCTGTGTTTGTTTTTTTGTTGAGCCCAGTGATAAAGTCAAGTCCCTTCAATGGCCTGTGGGGCCCTGTGTCCCTGGTCCCTGGCTGCTTTTACCTCAGTCTATGCCTTTTATGGTTGAAGGCCTTGTCATTCCTTGTACCTTCTGTCAGTGTTCGGGGCTTAGGTAGGCTGAGTCCTAGGGCTTGCAGCTTTCCCATCCCTGGCCCCATGCCTCCCTCATTTCTCTATCCAGAGTCTCCTTGGTCTTTGACTTCACTTAAAAGTGCACCTGCCTCAGCACACCTGATCCCTCTCCCACTTCTCCCATTCCCGCAGTGACCTATCACTATAGAATTTGCTTGCTTACTTTAGTCTCTGCCTATCACCAGAACAGAGCTTGGTTCCTGCCCAGAGCTCAGCAAACACCTTGGGCAAGTGAGCAAACCAAGGAGCGCACTGTCCCTGCGTACCTCTAGGAGGCACCCTTGTGCAGACTGAGGGACACTGAGGCAGCAAAGGCATGGGGAGTGGGTGCTACCTGGAGAGCAAGGGCCTTCAGATTGACAGTCTGTGCTGCTGAACTGCAGGAAGGCAAAACCAAATCAGATCTAGATAGTTTTTCCCCGTCTTTAAGCACTGATGAAGAGCTGAGCATGATGTTCCTAGTCTGTCTACAGCTAGACTGGGTGAGCTGACTCTGGACTGCAGAGCTTGACTTAGAATGGACTGTGTGCTGTTGGTGTCAGCAAGAAGTAATGGACCTTGGACACAGAACTGCCATGTGATCCATCAGTCCTAGTGCTCCCGAGCCATGAGCTGGCCATTCAGGCATGACTCCTGCGATTTATGGTCTCATTAGGGGACCTTGAAGAAGATATATCCCCAAGGTGCATCTGGGTGCAGTATCAATTTAATTTTATAGCTCTCCAAATCCAGAGGCCACCTAGGACGTGTTTGCAGAGTAAATTATTGGCAAGGTGAGACACCAGAGTGGAGTCAACCATCAGGAATAACAGACTACAGGCAGACTTGGTTCTCCAGGCAGGTCAGCCAGGGTTCCTCTCACCAAGCATGGGTGCTACTTGTGTTCCAGGGACTAATTAGTCCAAGATTGGGCTGAGCTGATACCTAAGGAGAAACCTATGTCATAGGAAGTCCTTGGAGATTCCGACCTGCTGTGTTCTACCCTAAACCTGGGAGACTGAGCAAGCTCAGTCTCAGAGCCACAGCCTTCCAATTTGTGAAGTGGGAAAGTTGGAGTCAGCCTGCAGGCATGCTTGCATAGAGCTGATGCCTTCTGCAGAAAAGCACTGACTTTCTACCAGAGGTTGAATCTGGGAGAAGGGGTGAGGTGTATGGGGGCAGGCCTCTGTGGTTCCTCTCCATATTCACAGTTTGTGTCCTGCCCAGTCACTAAAACCTTTGGTGTGCCCAAGTGATGACCTGAGTTGCTGGCATGAGGGAGCACTTTTAAATTGCAGAATGTTTGGTCAGGCGTTGTCTAGAACCTTGTCTAGCTACAAGAAGTTGGAGAGGGATCCTGGAGGTTGAGGCAGGAAGCTTGGTGGCAACTTCAGTCAGGATGGACTTCTTTGTGTCATAGTAACAACCCCCACCCCCGTAACTCCACACCTTAAATACATAGTGCAAGTTTAGCTCTTGCTCATGTGCTGCTTGAGTCCCGGCTTGTGCATCACTAGGAGCCACTGTGCAGAGAAGGAGACTGTGCTTAGGTCTTAGAGGTTCCTCCAGAATTATCACAAATCACTGTTGTATCTCACTCACCAGACTCAGTGATACAGTTGCCCTTAGGTGAGAGAGGACAGTTCTTCCTTCTGGACTATACCTGAATGGATTAGGTCATTGGTAAATAGTAAACTATGCTAAAGGCCACCCCATAATGTGAATAACCACACAGGAGGCATATTTGAAAGAAAGTCCCAGGACTGGAGATATGGCTCAATGGTTAAGAGTACTTGCTCATCTTATACTTGCTAGGTTCAGTTCCCAAGCACCCACATGGTTCACAACCATCTGTAACTCCAGTTCCAAGGAATCTGATGCCTTCTTCTGACCTCTGTAGGCATGAGGAGTACATATGTACAAGTAAAAATAAACTCATACACATAAAATAAATAAATCTAAAAAACTTCTTTTTTAAAAGAAAGTCCCAAAAGATTGGTTTGCTTCCTATCTTGATGGGAGAAGCTAAGGATGGAGGCCTTTGTACCTTCCTGGGCAGGAAGAGCTGGAGCAAGAGTTGATCAGGCTTGGGAAGATACTCCTGCCTCTTCTTGGCTACCGCCTTGCTGTACACTCTCTGTGCCATTATCCCCCATGGAGAAGCAGGAGCCATTTGGACAAGGTTTGGGGGCACCTTAGTGGTGTCATTCCTTAGCATTGGTTTGCAGTTCACCCCCACCCCTTCATCAGGGCCGTCTGAGCCCGTAAGGGAAACAGCTGGCTTTATGTCATACTTGTGGCAGAGTCTGTGTGGCCGCAGCATCTGATCTGTTTCTTTCAGGTTCCAGTATCCAGTCACCGAAATCCCCTGTTAGATCTGGGTGCCTATGACCAGCAAGGCCGGCGGTTTGATAACTTCAGCTCTCTTAGCATCCAGTGGGAGTCTTCCCGGCCATTGCTGGCGAGCACCGAGCCTGACCAGCCTATGCAGCTGGTATCCCAGGATGATGGAAAAGGCCAAAAGAAGCTACATGGTGAGCCAGGTCTTGAGCCAGAGGGCGGTGGAACCCTGGACACACAGGAAGGTCCTGCACTGCTCATGCCTAGGACCTTGGGTATCTGGGGCTTCCCTTCATTTAGAGCTAAAGCATGGAATATTGAGAGAGCTCATGTCCCACCCCATTTTTTTGAGAGAGAGTCTCGCTATAGCTTTGCCTGGCCTAACTATTAAGACCAGGCTGGCCTCAAACTATCAGAGACCCACCTGCCTTTGCCTCTTGAATGCTGGGATTAAAGACAAGTGCCATCATACCTGGCTGCTGTGGGTTTTTATTTATTTGACTGTTTGTTTGTTTGGTTTTGTTTGTTTTGAGACAGGGTCTTCCTCTGCAGTCAAACTGGCCTCAAACGTGAGGTCTTCCTGTCTCTTGAGTGCTAGGATTGTAAGTCTGCACCAGTACGGCCAGCTTTACTGTGTTCCTTTAATCCCGTATAGGTATAAGAGATAGGACCCAGAGCAGAAAGGGCTCCTGTCCCAAGTTCCTTGGCCATGCTGTGACAGTGACAAACTTCCTCAGCAGCCCAGTGTTGAGCCTGTCCTCTCAACGTACCTCAGCAACTCTGTTCTGGGCTATTAACCCTTACAGGACTAAAAGCCTCAGTAAACTCAGTTACCTGCTTTTAAAATTGAAACTGAATTGGCAGCAGGATGTGGCCCCAAGGGAGCCAAGGGGTGGTGGCCAGCATTTGTTTTCCCTCTGTGCCCTCAGGTTTGCAAGCAGTTTCGGTTCATGAGGCATCAGGAAGCACAGCCATCTCTGCCACAGTGACTGACTACCAGCAGTCCCACCTCAGTGCAGCCAGAGTGACGCAGCCGGTATGTCCCAAAGGACATGAGTGGGTAGGACCGTGAGCAACACCAGGGTGTCTCCTGCTTCTGTGTAGATTCTGTCTGCTGTCGGAGGCCCTGACCTCCCTTGCTAGGGATCAATACCCGCTTGATTCTTCTCTTCCCAGCATCTCTTGCAGGCTTCAGGCAGATATGCTGCTTCAGGGCATGTGTGTAGTAGGGAGGGGTACATTTGAGGAAATGGAAGGGTCCCCAAGAATGGTCCTGTTCGGATGATATCCACCCTCTCGAGCCACCCTGCAAGCTGCTGCTGAAATGGTGTGGAGGCAGTAGATACCCGAGGGCAGGGGATATGGGGGCTGGCACCCTAAAGAGCCCAGATTCTGAGACAAGGAAGCATCCTCTTAGAGAAAGCTGTCTCCATTTGGAAGGAGGTGGCCTGCTGGAGGTAGATGCTCACCTATCCCTGTCCCAGATGTCTTCACCTGGTCCATTCACCTGTTAGCTTTTGAGTGCCTCACTGGTTCCCACACTGGAGCCTCACACCCCCCAGACGCAATTTTAAGACCTTCACATACACTTTTGACCTCTTCGGGGCTCTCTCTACCTCCCAGGCTTCCCCTAGGTACTGACACTGCTTGAAGCTTCTGTTCCTGGAACGAGGCCGCTACCTGGGGCATCTAGCCCCGCTCTTCTTGGAGGTAGCTGGTGAGGCCCCTGTCTTCTGGATCTGACAGTGTTGACTTTCTTTTTCAGCATGACCCTATAGTACCTGTGTCAGCCTCCATCGAGCTTATTCTCGTAGAGGACGTGAGGGTCAGTCCGGAGGAAGTGACCATCTATAACCATCCTGGCGTCCAGGTATGGCCCTTTGCCCCCGCCGTCCTTTCGAACAAGGCACCCTGCACTCTGTGCTACCCAGCCTGATCTCTTCCCATCCCCACATCTCCCTCCAGGTAGAACTGCACATCACAGAAGGCTCTGGCTACTTCTTCCTCAACACAAGCACCCCAGACATCATCAAGGTGGCTTACCAGGACACTCGGGGCGTGGCTCTGGTAAGCTTGAGCATCGGGATCCCAGCTGTCTAGTCAGGTTGACAGATTATTCCAGAAAGCCGGCACTTAATAACACCCACCATGCAGGGCCTTGAGATTTGAAGTTGCTCGAAGCCCCTGTCATTCCCATGCCACCTCTGCACTTTCTCTTTCTTCAATTACTCGCACTGTTAATTACCTAATTCTTTCCTTTCAGTCAATCTTCCGATTCATCTTTTAATTATTCCTTTATTACATAAAAGGCTTCATGGTAACCCTAAGAAACTTTCTTTTCAAGCTCCACTCCTAACTCTCTCCTAGCTCTCCATAGTGCCCACTTCGCCCTCTCCCCCTCTTACAGACAAGGGCCTGGTTGGACCTCTGGCATGGAGGAACGGAGCATGCTGCTTTCCTCGTGTCCCGAATTGCTTCTCTTCTTGTGGTGTAGCCCGTGGTTATCTTACTTGCACTTTTATCCCTTGTTTTCGTATACAGGATCTGAGTTCTTTAAACTCCTTTTTCTTTTCAATGATTTAGTTTTCTTTTACGTGTATGAGCATTTGCATTCATGCATGTATGTGTACAAGTACATGCAGTGCCCTCGGAGGGCATAAGAGGATGCTAGATCACCTGAAACTGAAGTTGTAGCTGGTTATGAAAGACCATGTGGGTACTGGGAATCAAACTCCAACCTTTTGGAAGGTTCTTAGCCACTGAGCCATCTCTCCAGCCCCTAACCTTTGGTTTCTTAATAGAGCCAGAGAGTGAAAACAAAGAACTGTCCTGAATGTCTCACATGTGTCTGATAGGGGATTAAATGGAAAGTTCCTCCTGAAAGGAAGTCAAGAATGACACCCACCCTCACAGTGTCAGCACTTGTCAGCTAGAGCATTGCCACCAGGCAGCTCTGAGCCCAAACTCTGCTTCCTCTGGTGAAAGTGTGCCTGCCTCATTCCCAAAGAGTCAAGGCTCCCCTGGACTCCATGGAGACCTGAGCTGACATGGTGCTGCAATGGAGGGGGTGTGGCTTCAACTCAGGAAGTCTGGTTGGCTGACTGTTTCCCCAGGCTCTTTACTTTTGGCTTTGCCTTGTTTCTCCACCTGAGCCCTTGCAGACCAGTCACAGCATGGGGGCGCCAGTGTTCCAGGGAGGGCCATGACCCAGGCAATAACCTGTGCCTAGCCCGTTTTCAGAAACACTGACACATTACCCATTACTACGCAGGGGTCGGTGGCATGGCTCCAATCAGGTGTTGGTGTCTGCGCGTTTAGCTCCCCACATTTCTATTTCTCCTCATTTTTGCCTCCACCATGCTATCTTAGCTTAGAAATCACAAAGTCAATGGCCCTGAGCTGGACAGGTATAAAGTGGGAAGAACCAACTGAGTGTGAGGAATGTGCCTGTAAGTGTTGGACTCAAGGGTTAACTGTGGTGCTGGATGTCAGGAGATAGTGGGGCAAAGGTAACCAGAGGGCATAGGGGCCTCCCACGGTGGGGGAGGGGTGGCAGTGTGTCCTCTATTGGTTCCCCTACATCTCATCAACTCCATGTACTGTGTAGAGGTTCTTAGTAGGTTCACAGATGTGAGCAGCCATCACCACCATCATGCTAAGAGTGCACGCCTGGAAAGGAAACCCTCTAGCTACCTGTCTCCTTTGAGTTCTTTCAAACTCGTGCCCTGTCCCAGCTTTCAGTAACTACTAATTTATTTCCTAACCCTATAGATTTTTCCATTCTGCAGATTTCAAGTGAATGGAATCAAACAGCATGTGGCCCTTGCCTAGCATGTGTTTCCGTATTGTAGAATGTTCTAGAAGCTCGTTCCTTTTTATGACTGGATATGGCTATGCCACCTTTTGTTTGTTCATTCATCCATTAGTTGATATTTGGGGGCATCTGTCCTTTCCCCCCTCCTTCAAAACCAGGACTTCATATAGCCCAGATTGTCCTGGAGCTCAATCTGAAGCTAAGGATGTATTTTAGCAAAGGATAATTGACCTTCAGATGTTCTTACCTCACCACTTCTGGGATTGCAGGTGTGCACCACCACACCTGTTTCTGTGTGGTGCTGGGAATCCAACCCAGTGCTTCCTGTGTGCCAGGTGAACACTCTACTACCTGAGCTACATTCCCAGCCATACTGTCTGTCTTTACTGTTGAGAATAATACTGCTGTGAACATTTGTACACAGGAGAATTTTTGATAGTTTTTTTATATGTGCCAGTATCTGCATGTATGTCATGTACAACATGTACATGCATGGAGGGCCAGAAGAAGGTGTCAAATCCCCTGGAACTTGAGTTATAGATGGTTATTAACTGCCATGTGGGTTCTGGGATCTGAAACCAGCTCTTCTGGAGTAGAGCACTGCTGAACCATCTCTCCAGTCCTGTGTGTGTTTTTGTGTGGATACATGTTTCATCTCTGTTTATATGCCCAGGAATGGGAACTCTGCATGTTTTGAGCAACGACTGACTATTTCCCATGTCCCATCTCACCAGCACTGGATGAGCATGCCAGTTCCTCCCATTCCTTGTCAACATTTGTAATTATCAGACCTTGATATTCCAGCCACTCCAGTAGGTGCGTGTGACCTCTCCTTGTGAGGCAGATTTGTATTCCCTGATGAGTAAAGCCATTCAGCATCTTTGTGTTTCATTCTTGTATCTTCTTGGACAGATGTCTGTTTAGATTCTTTGCTTGTTACTCTTTATTAAGTTGTAGAATATCATATTATATTCTAGATATAAGTTATTCATGAGATGTGATATGCACATATTTTTCATTCAAACTTGCCTTTTTACTTTCTTGTTAGCATGCTTCCAAGCTTTTGTTTTTAATTTTGGTTAAAATAAAAATAATAAATAAAATTTTAAATTTTTTATTAAGTAGAGTATCTCTTTAAGCTTTAAAGTTACATTTATATATATGTTTATTTTGTTGAGTGTGGAAGGAACATGAATGCCACAGCATGCTTGTGAAGGACAGAGAACAGCTTGCAGGAACTGGTTCTCTGTTTCCACCATGTAGGCTCTGGGGATTGAACTCAGGTTATGAGCCTTGGCAGTGAGCTCTCTTCCTGCTCGTCTGTGTTCCTGCATTTCATGGTTCCCTGAGAGTCTATGGCGAATGGGACCCTGTTGTCGTCTGTGTTTTGTCTACACTGAGTTAATGGTGGTCCTGTGCTGGGAACCCAGGACCTTCCTGGTGTGTGTGGCTTCCCAGCTGTCCCAGAAGCCATTATTCTTTTTCTGCCTTGGATGATTTTGGCATCGATGTCACAAGCCATCAGAGACATGAGCTTAGTTCTGAGATCCCATCTCTGCTTCAGCTCTGTATTGACCTGCTTGTCTTTCCTTGTGTCGACTACAAGTGTAGATTACCATTGCTTTATAGCAAGTTTGAACATCTATAAGTGTGAGTCTTCTGGCTCCTCCAAGTCTACTTTGACTTATTTTGGGTCCCTTACAATTCCATCCATATACATACTAGAGTAAACATGTCAATGTATTTGTGAAGCCAGCTAAAGTTATGCCAGGACTTTTGGATGGCCCCTTAACCATATGCACAGCCTCTGCCCATGAGTGTGAGGTGTAAGTATTCTTATTCATGGTGATAATTCTAAATGGAATTGTTTTCTTAAATTTTATTTTTCTAGCATTTTCTTTTTTCTGCATGTTGGTCTCATATTGTGTAACCTTGCTAAATTCTTGGGGGTTTTTAGCGAATCCCCTAGGTTTTTTTTTTTGTGTGTGTGTGTGGGGGGGGGAGTGTGATCATGTCGTGTGTGAATATAGGTAGTTTGATTCCTTCCCTTCAAATTTGGAAGTTTGATTTCTTTTTCTTGCCTTTTTGCCCTGGCTACAGTCTCTAGTAGTGTTAATAGAAGTGATGAAAACATCCACCATTGTCTTACTCTAGATTTGGGGAGAAAGTTTGCATCCTTCCACCACTAAGCATGATGTGGGTATTTTATAGATGCTCCAGATGGGGTAGTGTACCAGGGGCTTCTAGGCTAGACTGAAAGTATTTGTAAGTGTGTATGTGAGGAAAAGGACGACTAACATTCCTCACCCCCACCCTCATCCTACCTTGCCTCTGCTAGCTTAGATGCAGCTTGGGCCTCTGGTAGGAAACAGACTCAGTTCCTCCAAGGTTTCGTCTGATTCCCAGAGCTCCCAGCAGGCAACGAACGGACATCTTCCTGAGGCTGCCTGCCCTGCCCCTGCTCAGGACTTCTCCCTCCGCCTGTGAGAGAAGGGTGCAGGGTGCTAGACAATGGCACTGTTCCCTTGACCATATAGTAAGCTTCTGCTTCCACCATGCAGGTCATCTTTGAGAAGATCATATGCAAGACTGACTTACTTATAATACTGGTGAGATTAGTGGTCAGCAAACACTCTGTCCACCTGCAGGGAAACATCAAATGCAGCTAATTTAGGGAATGTGGAAATTGGTCAGAGTAGCTATGAGAGGGACACATGCACATGCTGCTGGAAGAGTCCAAGGCACCTAGGATATTCCTTTTCCCAAGCTCTGATGTGACTGTCTGCATTGCAAGAGGCACTGACTCTGTTCATGGATTAGGGATCATTTATTTTTCTCTTCCTCCTTTACTATCCTCTTATGCTTTAGTCTGTGTTTTCTAATCTGTTTTAATTTCCTTTTTAAATTTTTTTTTTAAAATTTTAGTGTATGAGTATTTTGCCTGCATGTATGTGTGTACCGCATGTATGCAGTGCCTGTGGAAGCCAGAGGAGGACATCAAATCCCCTGGAGCTAGAGTTACAGATGGTTTTACTCCCACCACTTGAGTAGTGGGAATAGAACCCCCATCCTCTGGAAGAGCAGCCAGGGCTCTTAACCACTAAGCCATCTCGCTAGTCTTTTTATATTTTTTATTTTTAAGACCCTGGGGTCTCCCTCATTTCCTGGCTGATCTTGAGCTCCTCAGCTCAGGTGTTCCTCCTACCTCCCTTCTGAGTAGCTGGAACTGTAGGTGTGATGCTCATACTTTCCCAAGCATTTCCATTGTTCCCTTATAAAAGAGGGACTAATTGCACAGGTTTGTGTGTGAGTGTGTCTTGTCAGAGCTTGACACTAGGAGGAAAAGCTTCAGCAGAAATTCATCCACACATCTGGAAACATACCTTATCTAGAGATTAAAAATAACTTCCCGCTATCAAGAAAAGGGGAATTTGAAATCAGGAGAGGTATGTCTGTTGCCACGGCAACCAACTACAGTTCATCTTAGTCAGGTTGCCTTTCCTAAGTAAGCCGAGGGTGAACCTATGGCCAGAAGAAAGACTTTTCATCCAGGAGTGAGTGCTCTTCAGAGGCAATGTTGAGCTTGGCTCTGTGTATAGGTAGTGAGTACACCATATCTGGAGGTATTCAAACAGAGCCTTCCTTTGAAAGACTCAAGGATTCCAGCACTACAGCTTCCCGTAGAAGACATCTGAGCTCCTTTAGTTACTGCCATTTTTGGGTTACCACTATGTGGGTATCAGTGCCCCCATCTTCACAGAGTCACAGTGGGCTGCAGCCATTCTGTCCCCCGGCAAGTCTGGCACCCTGGGGAGCAGCACCTTGGAGGCACACCTTGAGTGTGGTTTCTGTCTCAGCAGCTTCCTTGGAATACTGACCTTGGGTCTCCGCTTTCTCCTCCAACTGCTTCAAGGGGAAATCGGGTCCTATTTCCTTCTCCCTCTTCCGAACCTGCAGTATCTTTCAGAGTGTTGATGGGCTGTGACGGGTGCTCCCAGCTTCCTTCAGAGGGCTGTATCTGAAGGACACGTTTGCACATTTCTTTGGCATTTTGCAGCTGCTAATTAGCAGCATTCTCATTTCTCTTCTTCACAGACGAGAAAGCGCACAGCCGTGCTCACGGAGCTCCTAGACAATGCCTCGTTCTTCCTTATTGATAGGAGTTGAGGCTTCACAATGGCTCCTGTATGTGTGTAGTTGGCTTCTCAGTGTCTTTGGAAGAGAAGTGAGTGCGTGATGCACACAGCAGGCTGTGGTGGAAGTTTTCATGCCCACACAATGAACCTCGGGCTGAGCAAGGCTGATTAGTTTTGCTCACACAGCTCCCAGAACCCTCTGCAAGGGGCCTTTATTTTATTTTTGGCTGGATTGAACAGAAGAGTGTTTACCTGATTTAAACTCAGGATTTCTTCCTTCTCAAACCATTCCTCATATTTCCTGAGTCCCCTGAGTTTAGCCTGTCACTGAGAGCTTGATGTGCCCTGAGCACTTGACACTTCTTTCTGCTGTGTTCGTTCGACCAAGCTCTAGCAGAGTATGGTGGTAACGAGGAAGAAGGCTTGCAGGCTCTGCTCTGGTGAGCCATACTAGTGCCTTTACCACACAGTACTGCAGTGTATGGCCAGCCATGATGCCCTGGGATGTAGCAGAAGCACACCAGGGATGAGTTGGTAGGAGGTGACGGTTGTAGGACTTGAACTCAGGTGTGTGCTGCTTCTGTGAGGCTGGTTGTGGATGGTGTAGTGCCAAGCCCGTACTCTTGCTCTTGGGGAACTGGCAGAGCTGATCACTGCATGAAGCTAATGGTCCCAGTGATGGTCAGAAATATTATTATTAGGATATTTATGCATTTGAAAATGTCACATGCCACAAGTCTGAAGTGTGAACGGGGGCCCAGGAAGGCGGGGCTGGTGAGCTAAGGTCCATAGAGTTTCTTAATGAGGAGTAATGCATTCATCATCTCCAAACTGATGACAGGACTTTCCCTTGGGCTCAGTACTTGATGATATTCTCAGGTGGCACTGTCAACACTTAGAAATGAGAACTCATTCCAGACACCCCCACTGCCTTTTCTCAGTGTTCTTGAATGTCCATCAAGAAGCATGTGGTGGCAGACTTTTGAGAAGTATGAGCCACCTGCACTGTCCAGTGAGGAGTGGTTGGGGTCTCCATGTGGCTACTAGCTAGTGGTCAGCTCTCTACTTCCCTCCACTGTAGTCCACGCTGTTTATTTGTCTCCTAAAAGTCACACACTGGACTCCTCAGCGCTTTGTTACTGGATAAAGCAAGCTGAAGTGAGTCCAGGAGTGGAGCAGGCCAGTCCTCACTGCTTCCCGACATGCAACTTGGTGCTGTCCTCCCCTTCTGTCATCTGGAAGGTGGTTTAATGTCCATCTTCTGGGAAGCCAAGTGGAAGAGGAATTGATTTCCTCACTGCCATTTTATGCTTTTATTTAAAATGTGCAAAGTGATTTTTTTTTTGAAGGACGGAGGGAAAAACAGAAAAAGCCCACCCACGCTTGCTTGCCCATTGGGTCTGTCAGCAGCGGGTGCACTGTGTAATTTCCTCAGGTTATAAAGGACATGCCAGCTCCTGACAGCAGCAGCTCCTGCTTGCGCGTCAGACCGGAGGCTCGGGTCATGTTCTCAGAAGTGCTCATTCCTCCGTGCAATTTTGCATGAGCTTTCTTTAGGAGAGATGTAATAACCATCCGCAGCAAAGCCTGATGACCGGTGGCTTCCCCACCCATAGTTAATGCCAGACTGGCTAGCGGCAACAGCTCAGATCCCACAGCCATCATTCTGGAATGTAAGTGTGATTCCCACCCTGGGATCTTTGTTAATCTACTTTAAGCCATCATATTAAATAAGCCAGGCACACCTCATCTGCTTGGATGTGCCCTGGAGCTCAGTTACACCTGCATCTAGCAGCTTGGCCCAGCTTTCCAATTTTATCTACCCCAGCTACCTGAGGGCTTAGGCCTTTCTTAGCTCAGACTCTCCCTACTGACCCTCTCCACTCCTCTCCTATTCTGGATGCTGAAGGCCCTGTTTCCCTGCAAAGGAGGCAGTGCCCCTGAATGGAGAACTGAGCCACTGGGTTAGATCTCTAGCTCCCCTTCCGGCTATTTCCACCCTGCCCTTGAGGCATGGTTTGCTCTTTTGTACCTTAAAGCTGCTGGATCAGAATCCATAGGTTCTGAGTTCTCTGCAGAGTTCTTCAGAACTTCCCATTCTTAACCAAGCCAGTTCTGTTCTGCAAAGCTATGCAAGCTTAAGCACCTGGTTTCAGTGCTTTATCAGACTCCCTCAACACTGTGGGCCTGGGTCTGATCAAGGTTTGGAGGTTGGGTGCAGGCCACTAGTGCCAGATACCAGGCTCTGTGAAGACTTTGGGAAGGTGGAGGTCAGCATGAAGGAGAAAGGCAAGCTAAAAAATTCCAAACAGTGATGAGGGGAAGTCAGCCCAGTGGAGGGAAGAGCATGTCTATCTGGTGAGAGAAGTGAGGCTTGAAATTGGAGCCAGCAGCTGAGCACTGGGGGAAGAGGCAGAAAGTTGGTTATTTCCCATTGACAGAGAACCTATTTCCATCTCCAACCCCACCCCACAAAACCTTGGTATTGGAACTAGGTTTATAAATGCTGAATGCATTTATACCCCCAGGCCCCACTGTGATAGAATCTAACTGGCAAAGTCAATCACTCGCCCTGCCCCTGCCTGCCCAGCCTTAGAAGTCACTCAGCACATGCCTAAAGGACATGTGGCAAGTCCATGTTTGAGTGACAGATGTCCCCTGCGAGGAGCTACTGTAGCTGAGCTGTGAATGCTCAGGGAGCTCTCTAGGGCTGCGTGGTTAAGGAAGGATAAAGGGGTGCTGTGGGAGCCAGAAGAGTGGGAAATTCAAGCTTGTGTTTATTTATTCACCTTAACCTCTTAGTTGGTCATGACTTCAAGCACAGCTGAGTGGCAGAGATGGGTAGGCCCGCAGGAACCCAGGAATGGATGACCTGGTGGTCTGTCCTCAGCTCTATTGTGTTGTGGATTCAGACAAGAACTCTATTGGAAGCGGCTGTCTGTCCTCAGTTTTATCAGCTCCTAACTTGCAGCTTCATGTGAGATTCCTAGGGATGTGGTGCTATTATTAGAGCCACCTGGCCAAGCCATCTTGGGTTTGACTCTTCTGCCTCCAGGTTATTGTGTATATTCTCATCCACTTGGATCAACTTTTACCTCCCTTTTTATAAAATGCATAAAATTGAAATGAATGTTGCTTTAGATCCCTCTGGCACTATAACACCCCATCTTCAGTTCATGCCCTTGCTGCTGGGGTGAAAGGATTTTCTGTGTCCACCTCTAGCCGGGTAGTTCCTGAGTGCTGGCATCTCAGAAGGCAAGATACTGCTAGTGACCCCGTGAGCAGAATGGGACCTATGGCCTTATGACTCTGTCCTCCTCTGCTTTGCAGGTGCACCCTCTGCTCCCAGGCTCATCAACTGTCATGGTCCATGACTTATGCCTGGCCTTCCCGGCCCCGGCAAGAGCTGTCATTCATGTCTCTGACATCCAGGAGCTCTACGTCCGAGTGGTGGACAAGGTTAGTAGACACTTCTCCACATAGCCGCCTCTCTGCTGATGAACGTAAAGCAGGGACAGTGTGTCCTGGGAAGTGTTTCCTTATGTCCTTTGCTTTTCCTCCTGGATCCTGCCCACTTCTGTCCCCTCCAGAATGGCCGAACTTATGTTGCCATCTCTGACTTCTGTGCTTCTTGTGGACAATGCAGGCTGATGTCTCTGCTATATTTCTTTATCGCAGTTGTCATCGCTAAAGCTTGGCAGTAAATCCTGCCTGCTGGATTGACTGAATTAGCCTTGACTTGGGAATGCATGTCCTCTGGCTCACATAGGTTATTCACCATCCTGGCACATACCCTGCTGAGCATAGAGTTTCGCCCCAGAATGTAGGATGAGGATTCTTGGGAATTTCAGGGACAGTTGAGTAAAACTCAGTACTGCCAAGTGTCCTGTGATGTGAGTAAACAACAGACCTAGGTTTTCCTTTTGTGTGAATGGGAAACTGATTCAGGGCTGAGGTGGCTGAAGCTGGGCTTGCTGCCCAGTCCCTGCTACCTGTGCTGGCGAAAAGGTTAGTCATTGAAAGAGGGATGGTCAGGCATCTTAGATTTCATAGCTTAAAGCTAAGATTCTATTACCCAGACTCAAATTCTCTCCTGAGTATTTTCTTATGGAGACAGGTTGGCTGTATATCTCAAGCTAACCTTCAACTCACTATCCTCCTGCCTCAACCTCCTGAGTGCAACCACAGCCAGCTTCCCTCCAGCTTGCTCACTAGATTCCTCTTCAGTGGGCTCTCCAGGCCTCCTTTCCTAAAGTGCCTGCTGATATGCTGCAGAGATTGAGCTGTTCAGACACTAAGCTCCTCTGTGCCTATGTTCTAAGCTGTGTCCTGTCTCTCTAATCTGATTGGTAGCCCACTAGTAGAACGTGGAGTTCATGCCTCATGCTATGGCCAAGTCTCCCTATTCCCCGTATACTATAAACTTATCATTTTTTACTCATTGATTGGCCAAACCCAGACATCATTCTGGGTGGCTTATCACTAGTTCCCAAGTTCTGAACTGAAGGTTGGTGGTGCTGTCCCTGCAAGCCTCAGGTGCTACATGTTGGGGGAATGATCACTGAGAGACCACTCCTGAACCTGTCTGTGCCTTAGGTGGAGATCGGGAAGGCAGTCAAAGCCTATGTCCGCGTGTTGGACTTCTACAAGAAGCCTTTCTTGGCCAAGTACTTCACTTTCATGGACCTGAAGCTGCGAGCCGCCTCCCAGATAATCACACTGGTGTGAGTCTTCATAGGAGTTGGGAAGGGCATCCTGGAGATGGGACTGATTCCCTTTGTAGCTTCTCAAACAGCTCTTCCTTGGAGGAGGAATCTAATGCTTCTTTCTGTCTCAGGACTCTCAACGAAGCTCTAGACAACTACACAGCCACATTCCTTGTGCATGGCGTGGCCATTGGCCAGACCAGCCTGTCTGCAAGCGTGATGGACAAATCTGGGCAGAGAGTCAGCTCCACCCCACAACAAATTGAGGTAGTTCTGCTCCTTGCTCTGCATGGCTCCATCCTAGTTGGACGTGTCTTTATAGTGACAGGCTAGGACTTCAGCTATAAGAAGAAACCCTGTTAAAGTCTGTGTCGTACCATGTCCTCTGAGCAGAAGCATAGTCACCAGCCCCAGGTATATGGGTGACAAGAATTAGATGCAGAACCAAAGGGGACTTGAGATATTAACTTCCTTCTGTGGCACAGAGTTCAGGCAGTTCAGAGAAATGCTATGCTTTGTCCCATGTCAAAAGATAGGCAGAGATTCTTTCCAGAAAGCAGTGGCCGGGTGGAAGCCATAGGCTGATTTTAGCTTGTATAGAACTAACTCCTCCAGTCAGTTCTGAGCCTTAGCCCAGGCCCAGGAGGGCCATGAGCACCTGCCAGAGGATTCCTGGGCAGGTTGTTCAGGATCAGTTGAGCTCTGAAGCCCCTAAACCCTCTCAGTGTGGTATAGGCTATTCTGCATCTAGTTTTTCATAGGTATCCCACTGTAGGCAGGGATCAGGGCAGCCAGGGGCAGGCCACCTTGCCCAAGAATCCCCAGATACCCACTAGCAACAGCAATAGCACCATCTTCTGCAGGTCTCGGCCACACGGGTGGCAGGCTTCATTGATCTGCTGTCAGAAGCAGGCGGAGGCGGTTTGTGCCTCCAGATGGAAGTGTGCCTTCCTCCTACTGGTGGTGAGGAATTTGTTTCTGCCTATAAATAGCACAGCCTAACCAAGACTAATTCTTAGCCCAGAGCAGTCTCCACGCTCTCCTTGGAGCACTTCTTACATGGTTGACAAGCAGGAACTTGTGGGGGCTGTGGGGCAAGGTTGCTGCAGAGATGGGCTGTCCACATCGCCTTTGACTGCTCCTGAGCCTTTTCTTCCGCAGAAAAATGCTGCAGCTGTTGAAGTAGACCCCTGTTCCAAGACAGTTTGCTTTCAGTAGTGCTAGAGGCAGCTCTCTAAAGACGAGTCAGGATTCTGGAGACCCCAGTCACAACTTCAGCAGACACCCTCAATTATTGTAGGACTTGTCAGGCCTCAAATCACAGGGACCTACCTCGGGCTTCATAGGTCTCAGGTAGATTAGACCAGAGGATTCCTGATGGGTCCACAGAATGATATCAGGAAGTACTAGTGCTGCTAGTGGGGCCACATGTTGAAACCTGCACTGAGAGGTCAAAGGTCATTTCTGTGATCATAGGGATCCCCAGCACTGCCAGTTACCCTCACCTAAGGGATGTCCATACCCCATGTGCAGTGCACATCGTGTGTAGCCAGTGTCGGCTTGCAGGTACCAGTCCCTTCTCTCTTCTCCCACCACATCCAGGTCTTCCCTCCATTCAGGCTGATACCCAGGAAGGTGACACTGATCATTGGAGCCATGATGCAGGTAGGAACCACTGCAGGTCAACACAGGCCTTTGCTGTTGGCATCCTTGTGCTCATGGGATGATGAGGGCTCTCCAGCGTGGCTGGTCCTGACAAGAGTCACTGTTTCTCACTTCTTAGATCACCTCCGAGGGTGGCCCCCAGCCTCAGTCCAACATCCTCTTCTCCATCAACAATGACAGTGTGGCAGCAGTGAGCAGTGCTGGGCTGGTGCGTGGGCTCATGGTTGGCAATGGCTCTGTTCTGGGGGTCGTGCAGGCGGTGGATGCTGAGACTGGCAAGGTCGTCATCGTCTCTCAGGTATCACATATGCCACTGGCGGTTGATTCTTGGGAGTGGTGGTTTTGCCCCTGGATTTATGCCAGGTTTGATCTCTGCTCCTTGAGGATACCCAGACCTGAGATGGCTCTTCTCCAGACTGAGCCTACTCGGTTCTTCCCATGCTCTCTGGGATAAGATCTCAGTATCCCCAGCCCTTACAGGCTCTGTGGTATATAATGAGGGTGCTTGTGCTGGGGAACACTGGTATATATTTGGATTCCTTGGTATATGTTTTGCTGTGTTTCCCCTTTGCAGATGAATTGTGTGGCAACCCTGCTAGTAGCCCACCCATGGCTGTTGTGGTGATTCTGAGCCTTGACCCAGGACTGCCTGAGGTCAGAGCTCTGGGACCTTTTGTGCACTGTCTGTAGTGGGTCCTGATCATGTGGTGATGGGATGGTAGGGGTCAGTCCTGATGAGGTTCTCTGTGTGTAACCGTGTGTACCTAGATCCATGGACGGGTGGTGGAAGCATGGCGTATGGCAGCCGGTAATTTCAGACTAGATTTGTAGTTCAGTCGTCTCCTCTTTAACCGTGGGCCCACTGGCTCTAGCCGCCTAGGCTCTTTGGTGGGCTTATTTTCCAGTTGCTTTTTTTGTCCAGCAGTGAAGCTGAAGTAGTCATCTCCCTCTGGAAGTGTTCCCTGACCCACACCAGTGGGGTTGCTGACAACAGGTGAAAGTCAATTTTCAAAGACTGACAGCTTCCTTTTCTGGAAGGCAGTGAAGGATCATTTCTACTCCCAAGAGGGCCTTATGATAAAACCAGAAGGGCATCTGGATCTCTCTCTCTCTCTCCAACACACACACACACACCCTCCTTTTCCACAGTGGCTCACACAGGCATCTTGGAATGTCCTGTGGTTGTGCTCACAGATCTTATGTGGTGTGCAGTGACAAGTAGTTTATTCAAGCCCCACTCTCCCCATCCCTCTAGGAGGTCCCTTGTGTGCAGCCTGTGCAACCCTCTACACTGGGAGCATCTAAGCACATGCCTGGGGGCCTGATGAGTGGCCACCCCCCTTGGGCCTGATAGTCCTGGCTCCCTGAGGCTGACTTTGATCTGACATTGAGTTCATTGATTGGCTCCTTTATCTAGCAGTTTCAGTATCTGCCTCCAAGAATCCAAGTTAAACCACAAAGTCTTTTTGAATGGCAGAGGCAGCTGTCCCAATTCTATGTATCGATTTTGTGGAGATAGCAAGGAGCATATAAAACTATCCCAGTGGTACCCAGGGTTCACACAGGCATACCAGAGAGTGAAATGAAAGACCCCAGGATGCTCCTCTCTGTTCCCTCAGTAGAAAGAACTGTGGCTTCAGAAATAGGCTCGTTTTTCTCCTCCCATCATCCGGAAGGCACAGCCCTGGCCATCCCCATGACTTTTTCTCTACTCTTGCCCTGGCCCTCCCAGCTGTCCGGTTCTCACCTTTCTGGGCCTCTCCTTCACCTGTGTCCCATCATGGTTCTTGGCAGGGTGAGGAGGTTTTGTTACAAGCTATTCTGAGAGGCTCAGCCTATAGCTTCCACATCCACACTGGGCATATGATTCTGTCAGATGCTGCTGGTTCCATCTGTCCAACCCTGAACACACCAGCATCCCGAGGCCAAGGGGTGGTCCAGAAACAGCTAGAACTAACAAATGAGAAAGATAAGGGGAAGGAAGGACTTTCTGAGCCCCTCTTATGAAAACAAGCACTTGCCTAAATAATAGGATACTAGGTGGATGTCTTAGTTACTTCTTCTATTGCCATAGCAAAACACCATGACCAAGGCATCTTTTAAAAGAAGTACTTAATTGGGGGCTTGCTTAGTTTCAGGGTGTGAGTTCATCTCCATCAGGGCAGGGGTGTGGCAGAGTCAGGCAGGCAGGCATGGTGCTGGAACAGTGGCTGAGACTCACATCTTAGCCGCAACCATGAGACCAAGAGAGAAGAATGGGGATAGCATGGGCCTTTGAAATCTCAAAGCACACTCCCAGTGACATACTGCCTCCAAAAGACCATACCTCTTATCCCTTCCAAACAGTTCCACCAACTGGGGACCAAGCAGTCAAATTAATGAGTCTCTTAAAGCCATTCTCATTCAAACCACCACAGCAGAGACGGACTCCACATGGGCAGTGTCTAAAGAACTGAAAAGCTTATTAGCCCAACTCCCCCCCCCCCCCCACCCATTAGTTAGCAGCATCTGAAGAAGCCAGTACAGTCATTGGTCAGATCAGTTGATTGATAGAGCTAAGGATAAAGGAAGATGTAAGGCCTGCTGCCATCAGACGTGACCTGGTTCCTCTACTCCTCCCTGTATCCTGGTGAGTTAGAGAGGCAGATAGGCTGAGTATGAGAGTGTCTGAGGCCTATCCTGAGAGGCACGCACAGCCTAGAGAAGAGCAAATCATGGTCCTGGTTTCCTGCCCACTGTTTTGACCTGTAGCAGCTGGATCGGATTGAGTAGGCTGGTCCTTTGGAGTGATCCATCCCCAAAGCAAGACTTCCTCAGGCTAAGAGTATGCTGCTGGTGTTTCATAGCTGGACAGATGCCTCTTTCCCCTGTCCTGTGTAGCCTGAGCCCAACTCTCTTCTAGGACCATGTGGAGGTAGAAGTGCTGCAGCTCCAGGCAGTGAGGATTCGTGCCCCAATCACGCGAATGAGGACCGGAACCCAGGTGAGGTGGGAACCTGATGGGTCAGGAGGCCTTAGGCTCTGAGCCCAGGCTCTTAACAGGTCACTGCTGGTTCACCATGCCTTGTGAGGGCACCACCTTTACCCTTCATCTGTGGCGCATGTTAATCTGTGGAACTCAGATCACTTGTACCATGGGTGTCAACACTCATCCCCAAACTCCATGTTTGCGGCCTTCCTTACTGGCATCTTCTTGTTCCTAAGGCTGCTGCCTTTCAGCAGCTAGGCTGGCACCTGGCCTGGCACAGAAGATCATGGGTCTGTGGTACTTGCTCTACAGTGTATGCTCCATACACTTGTTCCTTTAGGTGATCATAATAGTACTCGAGGTGGAGTTGCATTGCATCACAGATGAGCAGAAAGGTGGCATTCTGCCCAAGGTCACCCAGTTGGATGTGGTTCTTCTGTATCTGAAGACATGAAGTCTCCTACATATAATGGAGTAGCATTCTCTTCCATCTCCTCTGTGTGCTTTCAGTTGTGCCTGGGTGACTTACAGCATCTCATTTGCTGTAAGTGTTTCTGTGTGGCTGTCAGACCCTTTGCATAGGGAATAAAGATGAGGAAAAGCCCATGAGTGTCCCTGACAGGCCCAGTCTTTTTTGCACTGTTTTGGTACATGACTGAGGAACCTGGGGCTGGAGAGGTCTAGGAATTGCCCAGGCAACATGCTTGGAACCGTTTTTCCCTAGAAGCCACATGACTTTCACCAGTGCACTGAACAAGCAAGTTGAAGTATTCACCCCATTGTGGCCTTCCCCAAGAACAGAGTCTCCCTGCTGGAGCAGGAAAGATGCCTGAGGCCCTGCGGCAGTTGTGCAGTATTGTGAGGCAAACTTGGGTGTCCTAGAGCTCCAGGACTTCATCAAGAAAGGGACTTTACATGCACAGTCCTACAGTGACAGGGCAGGGTTTAATCTTGCCTATGTGTTGTTTGTGTTGTGTGAAACTCTCAGATCTTCTGCCTTGCCCTTGTCAGGTTAGGAAAGACCAGGGCACAGTTCCCACTGCATAAGGGAAGCTTTGGGGCCAGCAAGGATGGGGATGTGGGAGAAACGGTACCTAGTGCTGGAACCAGAAGTTACAAAGCCTGGCTTTCCCCCAGATGCCTGTCTACGTCACTGGGATCACCAGCAACCAGAGCCCTTTCTCCTTTGGCAATGCTGTGCCAGGCCTGACCTTCCACTGGTCTGTCACCAAACGGGATGTCCTGGACCTTCGAGGGCGGCACCATGAGGTAATCACCCAGAAATCCCAACTCCCTGCCTGAACCATCATCTTTACTGGTTGAGGGTCCCACCACATTGTCTCACAGAAGTCTACCTATTGCTATTTACAGTATATCTGCCCCGTTCTGTTTCCATAAAAATATACCAGAGGCAGGATACTCTATGTAGAAAAGGAGGTTATTTAGTTCTAGGGTGGGGAGTTTCACAGCATGGCACTAGCATTTGCACCACCTAGTGAGGACTGTGCTGGTCATGTCACAGCATGGCAGTTGGCACCATGGTATGAGATGCGTAGAGGGAAATGGCGTGAAACAGGAAGCCAGGACTTGGAGAGAGAAGTCTTTGCCACCCGCCTTGTGTGTGTCTGTGTGTGTGTATACCTAAATACACACATCTCAACACACTCTTAGGAATTAACAGAAATCTGTCAAAGTCTATGATAATCCCTTCTGAGGATAGTGCCCTCCCCAGCAGTTGACCCCTTCCTCATGGGCTCCATCTCATCATCTCCCATGCCCAGTTTTTTTTTTTGTTTGTTTGGTTTTTTGTTTTGTTTTGTTTTTTTGAGACAAAGTTTCTTTGTGTAGCTTTGGAACCTGTCCTGGAACTAGCTCTTGTAGACCAGGCTGGCCTTGAATTCTAAGATATCTACCTGCCTCTGCCTCCCGAGTGCTGGGATTAAAAGCATGCGCCACCACTGCCCAGCTTGTGCCCAAATCTATAATAGAAGAACCCTTGGGGGGGCAACCCATAGCCAAACTGCAACTGCAGGTGACTGCTAACAGACAGCAACAAGAGTATCGAGCTGGCAGGAAAGTCATCTGACTTCCAGAAGGTTCTGGGTTAGGGCCTATAGCTTTGTACCTGCTTTTTGTCATGGTGCCAGGCAGCCCTGGGTCTTTGCTCTGGTTTATCTCAGAGGGTAAACCCCTGTCCATCAACTCTCCTCCAGGATCCCAGCCACCTCTGAGATCTTGGGGCTAGACAGGGCAGACTTTGAGTTAAAGCCCATGAACAGGAAAGGACTTGCTTAGGGCTCGCCCAGCAAGGGGGAAATTGTACAGTGCCAGCTCCTGTGGCTTCAGGCTTAGGTCACAACAACCTTGGTTACAGTGTCCTGAGTGAGGTTGCTTTAGAAGACCCCTTCTGTTCTTTGCCATGGAAGGTGGAGCTAGCCCAGAAGGCCAAGGCCAGGGTAAGGATTTCCTAACTGTTCAGGTTTATATAACAGAGGACCCATACTTCTTGGGGCCCTGACCCCAGGGCCAGGGTATTGCCTGGATTGTTTGCATGGGACACTAGCAATGTGATTATTTACATACTCTGTATCAGTGGCTCTGTGAGAAACCCTACAAGGCCCAGCATATCTCCGGGTGACTCCTGACATACCTCTGCATACAGAAGGCTTGGGACATGCTGCTCTAAAGAAAGTGATTGTTGTGTGAACACAGAATTATCTAAACACCCCCACATGGGGAAATGTGGCCTGTGGTGCTGGAAGAACACCATCTGTTCCACTCTGGGTTTGCCATCTGACCCTGGCAGCAAGACAGTGGCCTCTGAGAAAAGTCAGATACCTATCTGGGGCCAGTATGCCCATCTATCGCTCTTCTAGGAATGCTGGGGCCTTCGACCTCTTTCATGGAAACATGCTTGATGTCTTTCCCAGGCATCTATCCGACTCCCTCCTCAGTACAACTTTGCCATGAATGTGCACGGCCGGGTGAAAGGTCGGACTGGACTGCGGTTGGTGGTCAAAGCTCTGGACCCCACAGCTGGGCAGCTGCATGGCCTTGGCAAAGAGCTCTCAGATGAGATCCAGATTCAGGTAAGGGGCAGGATGGGGGGAGCCACATGAACGGGAGAGGGAGTTCCAGTGGCCTGAGTTCTAGGATGGGGGCCTTGTGCCATCCCAGCCTCAAGGACCACCTAGGCTACTGAATAATTGGAGGCATCCACCTGTGTGTGATCAGGGAGGGAGGGAGATGGAGAGTAGGGTGTATAGAAGGTACCAGGGGAGGCAGAGATGGAGCTGATTCCAGCTCCAAAGAGGAGGGACTGCAGCATGAGAGGAGTTGGTGAATAGTCCGTACAGAGGTCTGGAAGCTGGCAGTATCTTGAAGTGTTCTGGAAGTGCAGCTTACTCTTAGTTTGAGGTTCACGAGTATCATGATATTAGGGACTGCTGACGGGGACACGAGCTCACATGTCTGAGCTCCTTTAATCACCTGTATTTAACAATCACTTCTAGGCTTCCTAATAGAGGCAGGCTTGCTCCTCCCTACTCCTGGCATTGACACATCCAGTGCTCACATGGAACATACCAGGCAGACCACTTGTGTTTGAACCAGAGGCCCAAGGGACAAAAGGTCAAGGCCACACTGGGTTGGAAGAGCTGTGTTCTGTGCTGTAGAGAGGGAGGGCCTTTGGCCAACACTGAAATCAACTAGGTCTGGCCCAGAGATTCCCTTGCCAGAGCCTGTTGCTCCTATCCCTCTTAGACCTTTCCCTCCTGTGTCTAGGCCCTGTGAGACAGAGAAGTTGGACTGGAGAAATAGATAGTGAAGGGCTTACTGTGCAAGTCTGGGGAGCTGAGCTTGATCCTTAGAATCCATTAAAAAAAAATAGCTAAGTGTGGGCCTAGAGAGATGACTCAGATTAAGAGCACTTGTTGCTCTTACAGAAGACCCACGTTTAAGTCCCAATACCTACGTGGTGGTTTATAACCATTTATAACTCCAAATACAGGAGATCTGATGTTCTCTCCTGGCCTTTGTGGGTACCAGGCACATATGTAATGCATATCCATACATTAAGGCAGACTACTACTACACATTAAAAATAAAGCATGGTATGGTGATTGTAGTTGAAATTCTAGCACTGGGGAAGTAAAGCTTGCTGGCCAGTCCACCTCACCTAATCTGCAAGCCCCAGGGCAGTGAGAGTCTTTGTCTTTAAAAAGAAGAAAAGAAAAAGAAAAAAAGTTAATATTGCCTAAGAAATAACATCTGAAGATGACCCCTGACCTCTGCATGAGTCCCCCACACAGACACATACTCATGTGCTCACACACATACACACGAGGAGTTGATAACTTAGCTCCCTAGAGGGTGTTTTCACTTTAAGTGCATTCTGCTGATAATCAGGGATTCTGTAACCCCTGAACCCTTGTAAGCTGCAAAGAAAAACTGAAGTATCCCCTGATTACAAGGAGAAATAAAAAGAAGTTCATATCCCCTCCTAGAGAAGAAAAGACACCCTCGCTTCCTCCTCATGCATGCTAAACTCAGGGACAAAGGTTTTCAAAGACAGAAACCACAGGTGCACATGCACTTAGAAGCAGGTACCTGCACACATACTCACCCAGGGACACACAGACATGTGTCTACACAAAGACACAGCAGGTAACAGTCACATGTGTATCCAGAGGCACACACACCCAGGTCCTCAAGCAGACACTGGTACAGACCCTCCTGCTTAAACAGAACGCATGACTTATAGGCATGGTGTAATAGTTTTGAGTCTGAGTGGTTCCATGTCTAATTCCCTTCTGGACAGCTACTGGAATTGGAGTAAGTCAAACCAGGGAAGTCCAGCCCAAAGATGTGTTTTATTTGTTGCCGGTATGGTTTTAACACACAGTGTAATCGGCAAATGAATGAAGCCCAGCCTTCCTGCTATTGGAGCTCTACTCCAGTTTACCACAAGGCCTCACCATCCCCTGGTGCCTGTCTGACAGGTGCCATTTCCCAAGGTGCTGGTACTGTTGATGTCCTCACAGTTGATGGTATAATGAATTCACCTCCATCTAAAAGAGGACACGCTTCAAAGGAACAGGAGGAAACCTGCTTGTGGATGTTCCCACTGTGCAGCCCGGGTTCCAGTCAGTCAGTGACACCACTCCATGCTCAGGACCACCTGCCTGAGCAAAGATGGCTTCTGATTTTGCCTCAGGTCCTGGAGACGATGGTGCCAGAACCCACATTGCAGATATGCTATAGAAGATGAGCACAGAGGTCCTGAGAGGGAGTTTGAGCTGTTTCCCTCTCAGAGAACTGCTGCTCACTTGCTCAGGAGGCCCATCTAGTCTCGTCAGAAACTGAGAGTTCCATACACAGTGTCAGAGTGTGTGTGCTCTTGAGCCAGGCAAAGCAGCCTAAGCAAAAGGACTGAGGTACTAGTAGGCTATATGGAGAAATTTTCAGAGCATCTGAGTGATGGGGTCAGATTTGGTCTGACATTGCCATCCCTAAAGGCCAGCCCTCCCTTTCACATCCCAGACCTCCTGGGAGGTGCTAAGGGCAACTTCCTGTCTTTCCTCAGTCTTCACTGAGAAAGAGCAGATGTTTAGACTGGATGTGAGTCTGGTTGGAGTAGGAAATACAAATCGTTCTTCTCTAGGTATTTGAAAAACTGCGGCTGCTGAACCCTGAAATAGAAGCAGAACAAATACTGATGTCGCCCAACTCGCTTATAAAGCTGCAGACGAACAGGTTTGTGGCTCGGCTCCTGTTTTCTGTGAGGACAGAAGCTGCACTCTCGTCCCATCCTACAAAGGTGTCAGGTGCCCTGGGTGATGTGCTCCAACCCGGGCAGCTTCTGTGTCTCCCTTCCCTTCCGGTGGATGACTTCTGCTCCTTCGTGGCTCCTCTGGATCCCTCTTCTGTTCCCTGTAGCCAAAACTCATGAGCACTGCTGAGCTCAGTCTTTAAAAGGGACAAAAGCACCAACTTAGAAGTGTTAAATTTTTCAAATGCCCCTGTGTTTTCAAGACTTGCTGCTCAAAGCAGAGCCCATGAATTAACAATAGCAGTGGCACTGGGGAACAGGATGATGGGCAAAGCTTGGGCTCCACCTCAGCCCTACTGAAGGAAAAGCTACACTGTCACAGGGTCTCCAGGCAGTGTGGGCACATGCCAGTGCTGGTGAGGTGTTGATTTAAAAGCTGACTGCAAAAATGGCTCCTCCTCGGGTTCACCAAGGAAGCCTTTCCTAACATGACAGAGACTTGAGTGGCACTTGGTGAGTGGGGGACTCTGGGCCACATGAAGCACTCAGGGCTAATTCAGCCAGAAATAGCCCAGGAGGAGATGCTATGCTAGGCTCTGTGACCACAGAGGTGAAAGACATACAGTGCCTTCAGAGACAGCAGAAGGATGGTGAGGAAGTGGTGAGAAGGTGGATCCCAGAGAAGGACTACTCTGGAGATTTAGGGGAGGAGTGTCATCCATGGAGATGCCTGACCTAGGGGCATCTTCAAGGATGAATAAGACTTCTTCTGATTACAAGGAGGGAGCTGGTAGAAGTTCAGTCAGAGGCTGTAACATTTGCTTAAATTCGTTAGAGTGGTTCAGTAGTGCTAGCATAGGTGAGGAGCTTGCAGTAGTGGCTGAAGGTCTCTCTTTGAATATCATGTTAAGAAGCACAGGAAGTGCTGTGAACCTTTCCTTTGCAGTTCTCACAAATAGAGGCTAGCCCTTGGCCCATACAATTCAACGCCCTCCCACAGTCCTCCACTCCAGGCTTCCTCATTTCTTTCTTTTTATATTCCAGTCTCAGTTCCCACTCCCTTCCCTCCTCCCATTCCCTCCACTTTCTCCCTGCCACCCCACCCCCCATCCTCTCCTCAGAGAGGGTAAGGCACATTGTTTTGAGGAAGGACCAAGGTCCTCCCTACTATATCTAGGCTGAGCAAGGTATCCATCCAAAGAGAATGGGTTCCAAAAAGCCAGTACAAGCACTAGGGATAAATCCTTGTCCCGCTGCCAGTGGCCTAGCATCTGCCCCAACCATACAACTGTCACCCAAATTCAGAAGGTCTAGTTTGGACCTATGCTGGTCCATTCCCTATCCAGCTGGAGCTCCCATTAGCTCAGGTAAGCTGTTTCAATGGGTGTTACCATCATGGTCTTGACCTCTTTGCTCATATTCTCACTCCTCCCACTCTTCAACTGGACTTTGGGAGCTCAGCCCAGTGCTCCTCCGCGGGTCTCAACCTCCTGTTTCCATCAGTTTCTGGATGAAGGTTCTATGGTGCCATTTAAAATTGTCATCAATCTGACTACAGGACAAGGCCAATTCAGGCACCCTCTCCTCTATTGCTTAGGGCCTTGGCTGGGGTCATCCTTGTGGGTTCCTGGGAATTTCTCTAGTGCTAGATTTCTTGCTACATGCTGCCTCATTTCAGTAAGAGAAAATGATTTGCCACAGACATGGTCTTTTTTACAAAGTGTGGTTGATGAAACTGTGGTGTCATGGTTTCCCATCCTGTTCACCCTTGGATATGTGCTGTTCTCAAAGTTGTGAGATTTCCATGTTAGCTTCTATTGGGTGACTGATAGGCTGCATAGCAGCAGCAGCATGAGGTACTGATGAGCCTTGATACCAAGGTCGGAAGCGGCTGGAGTCACAGGTGTGAAATCTCGAGATAATGCACTGGACCCCTGCCTATGCTCTGGTCCCTCCGTGCATTGTAAAAACAGATCATCTTGCTCCCCAAAGGGATGGTGCAGCCATTCTGAGCTATCGAGTCTTTGATGGACCTGAGAAGACTTCTGTTGTACACATTGATGAGAAGGGGTTCCTGGTGTCTGGCCCTGGAATTGGGGTTTCTACCCTCGAAGTGATTGCACAGGAACCTTTCGGCACCAACCAGACTGTCACTGTTGCTGTAAAGGTAGGATCACCTTTCACTCTGTCTAGGTAAAAAAGCAGTAGGTCAGAGGTGACACCCCTCTACCCCCGTCTCCCCCCCCCCTCTCGGGTGTAAAAGTGATTCACCCTACAGCTGAGGAATTCTGCCCAGGAATATTTCCAAGAACCACTTGCAGGCAGAGACCCTGGCTGGACTGTGAGCCGTTGGAGCCAAATTTTCTGGAGAGTTATTGATTCTATCTTTCCATCTAGCTTATTTCATAGAAGGGGAAACTGAGGCCCTGTGAAGTCCACAGATAGCTCAAAATCAGAGTTGCAGTCTTGGTGAACGTGCTGTTGTTCTCCCATTGCACTGACATTATTCCCACATTTACTACTGAGCCGCTGCCCAGATCAATGCAGTATCTGAGCATACTTAGCTCTTTCTGGCATGAAGTATGCTCATTACCAGCCATGCAAATAATTGCATCAACTCTGAGGACATAGTAGCTCATTTTGCAGCAGGGAAACTGACTCTGGGCGACTCCCTCAAGGCTACACAGTAGCTCTGGACAGTGTTCACTATGCCCAAGGACTTCCACTGACATTCTGTACCTACCAGGAACTGAGACCTACTCCTTGGGCATCCCTGTCTCGTTGCTACCACCTTCTGAGTCCTAGAAGACAAAGTGCACTCAGTCATCGGATGCTTTGATTCCGCCCTGGGCTGTAGCTTGTTTTGTTTAGTGGGCCTGGCAGATGCCACCTACCTACTTTTTGAGTGACAGAAAGTACTAGGTTGTTCTTCATATCCTGTCCCTACAACAGTTAACCTGCCTAGTGGGCTTTGGACTTTGGACTTTGGCCAGGTAAGGGATTCTTGTCTGGAGTCAGGATAAATGCTTACCTGCCTTTTATGGGCACGTGGTTCAGAGATGGCTCTAGAGACTCCTATAGGCAAGTGACACCCCCTCTCCATCCAGTGGGCATTACTTCTACTTAAAACGCTCTGAGAGCCAGCTTCTCCCATGATTCTGACTTTATAGTCACAGCCCAGAGGGTGGTAGTTCTTGCCATATGACCCATGACCTATGGATCCTGGCTCACCTGGGTCTTTTAGAAGTTGTGTGATGAAAACTGTGTCACTAGATGGGGACTCTAAGAAAGGTCTCTCTTCTCCACACCCTGAAGTTAACCAACCTCTTAAGTGTCTCTGAGATAGGGACCCACTCAGGCAGGTATCACTATACCTGCATGATGTTCTCCAGGTGTCTCCTGTTTCATACCTGAGGATCTCCATGAGCCCAGTCCTGCATACTCAGCATAAGGAGGCGCTGGTGGCTCTGCCTTTGGGAATGACTGTGACCTTCACTGTCCACTTCCATGACAACTCTGGAGACATCTTCCACGCTCACAATTCAGTCCTCAATTTTGCCACTAACAGGTAGGGCATTTCCTCATTTCTCACAGGGAGGCTGGTCTTAGTTGTGTCTGGATTTTAGATTAAGTCCAGATAGGTGGTGAAAAAAGGCAGACGCCATGGGAAGATGGTTAAAGGGTTGGCATACTGCACTACACTTTGTAAAAAAAGACCATGTCTGTGGCAAATCATTTTCTCTTACTGAATGGAAGTGAGGTTTGAATACCATATTTACCCAGCTCCAAGCTTGATTTTCTTAGGCTGGCTCTTTCTAATCCTTGCTGCAGCCCCAGTCCTGCTGTGAGGATGGAGAGGGTGACAAGAGGACCCAGGCTTCAATGTGGCCTGCCCAATGTCTGAGTCTACTGGCTAGCAGTGACTCTCAGAGTGTGGTCCCTAGTCCGGCATCAGCATCCTCTGGGATTGTTAGAGATATATTTCCACAGGGCTCAGAACTCCATGGTTTTAAAGTTTGATGGTCACTGCCCTGGGGCATTACAGAGGTTCAACGGGGACACTTTGGCTGAGGGTGGAACTTTTTGAGCTATCCAGGTGTTGGTTACTATTCCAACTTGGGCTTCCCATGGGCCTGAAAACACTTGTTTAGCTAAGAATTTTGAAGGACAAGTATAAGGGGTATGCATGGCAGGAGCCTGAGCAGGAAAACTGTTTGCAAACCTGGCTTTGATCTTTGTGGATCCTGAATCTGACCATGTAGCTCATTTCTGTGAGGCTCTCCCACCTCGTCCCATCAATGAAAGAGTGGTCATGAGTGCCTCTGGATGACTATGGGACTCTGCACATAATACCATCTGTCTGTCTGCCCTGGGGGAGGTAGAACCCAGGTCTTACTGCCGTGGGGCATACCACAGACGTTACTCTGGCCTTGTATGGCAGGAGCACCTGTTTGGGGTCAGCATCAGGGGCACTCACTCCTACCTGCCTCGATCTCACCTCTGGCATCCTTCACCATGAGGATTGAGCAGGTGTGTTAGGAGTGCTGTCCCACTGCCAGCCTTGTTTAATTTCCATAGCAGATGCCATGTACATCCTTGTTCCTGCTTCACAGGAGGAGGCGGACAGTGCAGGAGTGCTTGAACCAGCCACAAGCCTCTGCTTCCCTTCTAAGTGTGAGGGTGATAATGCTGGCAGATTCTTACTGGGTGCTGTGGGGTGTGTCCCAAGAATGACAAGGAAGAGTGCATCAAGTCTGTGTCCCCTTCAGTAGAGTCCCATCTAGGACCTCAGTTGGTGCAGTGTTGCTCAGTAGGGGACAGGGCTGCTTATTTCTCTATACTTCCCTCTGCCTTCTCACCCGAGTGTCAGCCTTCCTTTCCCTTGTTCCTAGAGATGACTTTGTGCAGATTGGCAAGGGTGCCACCAACAACACCTGCATTATCCGCACAGTCAGTGTGGGCTTGACCCTGCTCCGTGTATGGGATGTAGAACACCCGGGCCTCTCCGACTTCGTGCCATTACCTGTCCTACAGGCCATCACCCCAGAGCTGTCAGGAGCTGTGGTGGTGGGTGACATCCTCTGTCTGGCTAGTGTTCTCATTAGCCTGGGAGGTAAGAGGGATGTGACTGGTTCATGCTACGGTGTGGCACCCCAGGAAGTGCTTGGTACCACATCACAGGGGGTGTGCAGGTAGAACCTAAAGGATGCTCAGAGGATGCTGCCTAAAGGACACATTCAACTTGCTACTTGGCAATGCCTATTTATTTGTGGCCAGGTAGCAGTGGAGATAGTATTCCAGTTTACTGTCTGATAGTTTGCAGCAAAGTCTGCCAGCCCCTGTCCTGGAATAGCACTGCCCAGTAGAAGCTTTTACTGTTGTGGACGTGTCCTGTATGTATACTGTTACTCAGTTGCCTCCACAAGTCATGCTTACTGAGTGGCTAGTGATGCATACAAACAGCATGGCTCTGGGACACCTGAGCAGAAAATGAGTCCCCATACCCATGGAATTCATGCAAGGACACTTGCTTTTCTCCTGGCTGGTTTCCTTTCTTTAGTCTCATTAATTCACTTCCAAAGGATATTAAATAGTAGCTGGGTGTGGTGGCTCATACCTGTGATCCCAGCCTGGGTTAGCATAGGCTACAGTGAAACCTTGTCTCAAAAAGGAGGGAGGGAGGGAGGGAGGGAGGGAGGGAGGGAGGGAGGGAGGGAGGGAAAATAACTGCTGTAGATAGAATGAGGTTGTTGAATCTTTGCTGTTTCTTGGATACAAAGTGCTGTGTGACACAGTACCTAGGATCTACTTTTCTAAAGATGCATTTAAAATATGTTAGCATACTATAACTAAATCAAACTATTACTAAATCAAACATTTACATAGTAAATTTGACTTATTTTATCCAGGTATTAATTTTGTGAATATTCAGTTGGTTTGGGCTGGTATTATTATTATTATTATTTAGGTTTATTTATTTTTATTTTATGAATATGAGTGTTTTGCCTGCTGCTGGATACTGAACCTTGGTCCTCTGCAAGTGCACTAAGCACTCTTAACCACTGAGCCATCTCTCCAGCCCATATTTCACTTTATCAACACACCAGCAGTGAGGTCTACTCTCTGTTTCTGGTAATATTGAAGGGTGACAGGGACCCAGAGACATAACACCCAGCCCATCCCAGGACAGGGAATTGGGAAAGCTTCATGTAAAAAACAGATTCCAGATGGGAAGGTATGGGCAGGGGGAGTCAGTGCCCCCTGAGAACAGGTGCAAAGTGAGAGCTGCAGGAGGCCAGAGCTTCTAAGAAGGTGGGAGGACCACTTCAGAGGTAGCCTGTGTGGATTCCTCTATGAGTATGGAGACCCTCACAAGCAGAGGGGTCGGAGGAGGTGGGTTTGGTCTATGGTGTCCAAATATGAACAAGATGAATGGTATCTGGGCTTATTCTCCCAGGTATTTCAGGGACCTGGAGCTCCTCAGCCAATAACATCCTCTACATTGACCCCAAGACTGGCGTGGCTGTGGCCCGAGATGCAGGGTCTGTGACTGTTTACTATGAGATTGCTGGACATCTGAAGACCTTCAAGGAGGTAGGACTTGAGGGCAGGCAGAGGCAATTGTGGCCTACATTGTTGGAGGCAGTGAGAGCCTCGGGGTGTGTCTGTAATTAGGCTTGGAGACACATGTTTGCAATCTTAGCACTTGGGAGGCTGAGGCAGGAGGATGACCATCCTGGCCATCATTGTACCCCCACCACATCACAGCATTGTGCCCCTTGGTGCCAGAATCTGCTCATGATCAGGTCTCTTTACACAAAGACATAGGACCTCCGCACCTCCTGTCTATTTTGTTTTGTTTTGTGGTCTTTTGTTTGTGTGTCTGTTTTGAGATAGGGTCTTACTGTGTAGCCTAGGCTGGCCTTGAACTGAATCTCCCAAGTGCCTGTGTTCCAGGTGTTTGCCACTTCCCAAATGCGTGAAATCACTCTGATGACTTAAAAATAACCGGCGCTGCGTCATGGGAGTGGCTGTTAGCCTGTTGTTTAGTAGACGCCCGTCCCTGCTCAGTACAAATGCACTTTTTCCCCTAAATATTTTTGATCTTCTGTTGGTTGAATGCAACTGAAATCCAAACTGCCAAAGCAGCAGGTACAAAGGCTGGCTGTACCTCTGATTCCCTTTTCTTTAAGAAACAAATAACCAGGCCTCCTGCCAGAGCTGTCTGCAGCTGTCAAGATCTAGGAGAATCAACCACCCACTAAGTGTGAGATGGGAACCAGTCCCCTGTTCATCCCAAACATCCCTCTCATGTCCAAACCAGCACGAGGAGAGAGATCTGATCAATTGCTCCTACTCACCCACCAGCACCCACGCTTGTCTGGGAGCCAGTGTAGCCGTGCAGCCATAGGGGTGGGCATTTCCCTGAAGGAAGGTCAGGCCATGGGATGAGCACTCCAGTGATTTGGTGTCACCAGCAAAGTTAAACTTCCCCCAGCAAGTCACCTTTGAGTCTTTATGAAAGCAAAGAAAACCTTTCTCTCCAGCCGAGAATGAATCAATGAGCCTAGTCTGGCTGAGTTCCAAACCTGTCTCATTTTTAGAGCCAGCGTGTGCTTTGTCGAATCCAGCAGTTTAACCTAATAGTTTGCATATTTAGTGCTGCTGCGGTTCAGGCCAGTGGCTGCAGATAGAAGCACTCTGATTAATAAAGCTCTGCTTCCCAAGAGAGGCCTCTAAGAATTGTCAGGAGAGGGGCCAGCAGGCTCCAAGGTATATAGGGTTTGAGAACAGAACCTGGGGTGAGCTGGATCGTAGGGTACATGTAGGAGGGACTTAAGGTTTGGCTTTATGGGCAGATCAGGAAATGCTCAAGAGGCTGGGAAGCTGGATGCGGTAGTTTTAAGAGTGGTCTCAGCCGAGCATATGCCTACAATGTCATTTTCTTGACAGGCTGAAACTGTAGCAGCCTATGGAGTTTTAGGACAACCTAGACACACAAGTAACACTGTCTGTCTATGTTCAAATCCAAGATCAGCCACTGGACAAGTTCCCCCTGTGTCCAAGGGATGGAGACCATACTGTGATTTAGCATAACAAACTAACATGGGGAGGGGGCAAATCAAATGGCACTTAGTGTCTCACAAGTGTTTGCTCCACCCATGTTAGTTGCTGCTGTTCCTATGGAGGGGGGTAGAGTGGTAGCTTACTTCATACTACATAGAACTTTGGTTTTAGATCAGAATGATACAGATCAAAGAAACAAAGTGGTGGAGTTGCTGCGGGATGTCCAGATGATGGGTTGGATGGGGTGGTATGGAGGAGGGCTTGGAGTAACTCTCTTGGGTTTATCACCAGTAACCTGGTAGATAATGGTTCTTTACTGCTAGAAGGGAGCAGAAGTAGGGGAGGGTGCTGGAAGACGATAGTAAGTGGGTCCTGGAAGGTTTGAGATGGGTGTCTGAGCTGGTGAGTGGGTCAGCTGGGGTGGTTGTCTAGCACAGGGATGTTACATTGGGAGATGCCTGAGTATGGGTGTAACAGGAGTAGGCCAGATAGAGGAGGAGAAAGTGTGAGAAGGACCCAGCGTGGCCTGGAGGAAGAGAGAAGAGAGGAGATTTCCAGAAGTGGGAGACAGGGCCAGGGAGGGCAGTAGTGGGTACTTAGCTGTGTTGGTCCCTTAGGCAGCAGTGATTCCTGGGAGGAGACAGTACAGTGACAGCTGGAAGTGCCGTTAAGGTCAGAGGGGACCAAGGCCTGTATACAGCGGAGCTGTGAGCTGCAACCTAAGGGAGGCCTCCCTCCCTGCTACCATCCCTTTCCTATGCTGTAGGAAAGACCCACAAGAAGAGTTCCCAATATACTTGCCCCCACCCAGAAAGGGTGGCCAGCTTTCTAGCTGCAGAGGGGTGTGGGTGGGCCATCAGGCCTTGCAGAGGGAGATAGAAGGATATCCCATGGAGGGAGGTCTGCAGAGGGGATAACATGTGCCCAAGGGGTATCAGGAGCAGAGGTGATCTGAGCTGCAGATGAGGTCATGAAAAATACCCAGCACAGGCCAGCATACAATCAGCACATCTGCCTCATTTCCCTAGATAGTGGTCAGCACCCCTCAGAAGATTGTGGCCCATCGCCTCCACTCTGCTCAGAGCAGTATCCAGGAAGCCACAGCCTCCAGAGTGACTGTCAGCGTGGGAGACAAGAGCTCTAACCTGCTTGGTATAGAACAAGTGGGCTCTGGTGTTTGGGCTTTCCTTGCCAGGTTTGGAGAGTGGGAAGTAGCATCTGTGCCCTTTGGGTGGCTTCATCTGTTTGGGTTTTTTATTGTTTCATGCTGTTGGGAATTGAACCAAAGGCCTTAACACACCACAGACAGACACATGCTATAATACTGAGCCACAACCCAAACTTTACTTTTCTTACTCAGACACACCCGCAACTCCAGAGAGAGACCATTTAGCCCCAGCTCATCCACTCCTTGCAGCTTTTAAGCGATTCGAGGCTCCATGAGCTAAAGTGGTAAAGACGCCTTCCTTAAGAGCTCAGCTCCAAGACACTGCCTGCGCTGAGTCAGAGCTGTGATTGCAGCCTTAGGGCATGAGGCAGAGCAAGCCGCAGTTCACCCATCGCTGGTGGTGGAAACTAATGACATCGCAGACTCGTGGCTGGTTTTACTTTATAATTACCTCTCCCAAGTCATGCATAGAACATTCCATCTCATTCTTGCCTATGACAGCCCTGGATAGCAAGTGCCAGAAACAAATACATCGATACAGATTTTTTTTTTAACCACTTAACAGATGAATTAAGTTCTACCATTCTCATTGTGATTAATGGGGCACACTCATGACTTCATGGAAATGCTGTTTTCCTCCTTTAGTACAAGTGGAAAAATACTCTGCTGTTGCCAAAATTATGTGCAGCGTGTGTTTATGGAGCACCTCTGCCCTCTCAGTGTTCAGAAACAATTGGCATGGCCATTTCTCCTTGCTGACTGCAACAGGGCCACACAGCAACAGGTTGCCTGTCAGCACCCATGCTGGCCCTGAAGTGGCCCTGGCATTCAGAGTAGCCCAGCCTGTTGATCAGGATCCTTAGCTTTAATAAAAGGCATGTTATGTTCATCAAGCTTGTGGTCTCCTGAGCTCCCCCCACTGCATGGGAATAATATGGGACTGGTCCCATTCATGCCTGCCCAACCTCCATAGGATCTGTTTTTCATTTTAGGTTGTTATGGGTGTGGTGGCCATGTGCTTGGTTAAGCCCTTCTCACCTGATCATTGCCCCCAACACTGTACCTTTAGGTGAGTGCTCCCCTGCCCAGCGAGAAGTCATCAAAGCCTTACACCCAGAGTCCCTCATCAGTTGTCAGCTCCAATTCAAGCAAGATGTCTTTGATTTCCCTGCACATGATGTCTTCACCGTGGAGCCAGGATTTGATGCTACCCTGGGTAAATTTGCAAAGAACTGAAAATGCAATGAGTCTGCTGGATGTCTAGGGTTGGTCATAAGTGTGCTTCATGATGCCATATGTCCAGACAGGCAGAGGTTGCTGGGAGTCCAGCCTAAGACAGACTGATACCATACTCTTTTGCTGCTCCAAGAGGGAGTAGCCTTTGGCAGAGCTCAGAATCAAACCCAGGCTGGAACCATTTTCCTTAATCCCACCACTCAGTTTTGGATAGAGACTGGCCCTTCTAAACTCCCCTCTTTAGACTGAGGATGACAGTGCCTTGCTGCCCCCACTGCCTACATAGAGCAGGTGAGAGATGATAATCATGGCTGTATTCGAGCATGCTGAAACATAACAGCTTCACAGCTCAGGACACTAGAGGGGTTGGGCTGACGACCTTCACTGTTGGCCGTGAGCCTGCCTGGCCTCACTGCATGGCAGGGGTTGCTGCTGGCCAAGGGACTGCAAATGTATCCCAAGGGCACACTCAGTGTCTCACACAGCGTCTAGCACAGGGAAGGCCCTTACTGAGCTCGGGGGTTAGCAGTCTTCCAGCAGTCTATAGTTGCTGCCATTGATGGAGTACAGCTCAGGTGTCCAGATTCCAGGCTGCCCAGCTGCCCAAGGCCCTGCTTTTTTCACCTGGCTTATCTGCCCTGGGCCAGGTACTAAGGACAGGACAGAACCCAGACAGCCAATGTCCACAAGGCCTCCTGCTACACTTGGAGTCAGCTCTTTCTTGACCCATAGCCCAGGGTTGGATCATGTGTCTGTTTTTCATTATTTGCCTTCCTTCTGAGCCAGGCTGGCTGGGGCTTTAGCTGCAGATGTGGCCCCATAATGATCCCTGCCCCAAGAGTACTATTCAGATGGAAACCTCTTGAACAGAGGATTCTGAGAGAGTGAGAGGTCTGTTGTTCACAGAGCAGGTGACCGGGCTGGCCCAGCATCTCTGAAGGGGCATTCCTAGAAGACCTCCTGGAGGAGGTGACTTCTCAGCTGACTCCCAAGTATGCCGAGGAGTTTCCCAATCAGAGAGCAGGGAGTCTGTGCACACAGGAGAGGAACACGTCTTCTCTCCACAGGCCAGTACCTCTGCTCGGTTACTATGCACAGGCTGACAGATAAGCAACTGAAGCACTTGAACATGAAGAAGACGTCACTGGCAGTCACTGCCTCCATCCCCAGCAGCCGTACTGCCCTAGAGAAGGTGGGAGCTGAGGTTCCCTTCAGTCCAGGGCTCTATGCCAACCAGGCAGAAATCCTTTTGAGCAACCACTACACCAGCTCCGAGGTCAAGGTCTTTGGTGCTGTGGAGATTCTGGAGAACTTGGAGGTAAGCGGCTGTGGGGGCTTCCAGTCAGGGAAGCCAGAGGCTGAGATTAGGGTTAGGATTTAGTTAGGGCTAGACTTTAGGTTTAAAACTAGGGATTAGGGTTATTGTTTTAGGTTGTAATTGGAGGGTAGATGTTGGTGTTAGGGTCAGGTTAGAAGTTGGGGTTAGAGCCAGGTGGTGGTGGTGGTGCACACCTTTAATTCCAGCACTCGGCAGACAGAGGCAGGTGGATCTTTGTGCATTCGAGGCCAGCCTGGTCTACAGTAAGCATGGGAGCTTATCCCAACGGGGTAAATACCCTGCTCCATGTGGGAATGGGCCTCTTCTCTCTGCGCCTTGCTGCTCTTGCTGCTGCTTCATCATCATCATCATCATCATCATCATCATCATCATCATCATCTTCCTCCTTCAGGCTGATGCATGACTGGTCTCGGGCTTCAGTCCAGAATGCCCCGCCACAGGAAGAGCTCTGATGTGTAGATGGAGGAGTTTAGGGGCCCTGTTTCCTTCTTCGCTCGACTTACCATGGCTAACTACTCACAAGAGATGAGGGAGAAGTGTATAGTTGCTGTGTATATAGCAACTGTATATAATCTGATGGACTGCGGATGCTGCTTCATGGCAGCTTGGGTATTAGGTTCTACTTTGGGTTGGTGTAGCATTTTTATGCTTAACTAGAATTCAGTAATATTGATCATGTCCTCCTTACCAAACCCCAAATGTGGGTCATGCTTCCAGGTATCAGAGCCCAACTGGTCCTGGGAGCGAAGTCTCACATGTGTGGTTAGAAGGGCATGTCCAGAGATGAGCTGGGCATCTGCAGTCCCACCTGTGGTCCAGTCTCAACACTGTCTTCTTCCCAGGTGAAATCCGGATCCCCAGCCGTGCTAGCCTTCGTGAAAGAGAAGTCGTTTGGGCTGCCCAGCTTCATCACGTACACTGTTGGTATCTCAGATCCCACGGCTGGCAGCCAGGGCCCTCTGTCCACTGCCCTGACCTTCTCCAGCCCTGCCACTAACCAGGCCATCACCATTCCAGTCACTGTGGCCTTTGTGATGGATCGTCGTGGCCCTGGTCCCTGTGAGTCATGGCTGAGACATAACTGACCCAGACCTGGGCAAGGAGAAACAGGCCAGAGGCCTTGGGTGTTGGTGGGCACCTGTAGGGCGAACGTTGGAGGAGTCAAACACAGAATGTCTCTCAGAGTGGCAGTCTTCTGCTGTCAGAGACACCACACCTTACCTCCCGTAACCCCAGTCCTCAGCAAGGTGCTTGCTCAACATCCTACCATGGCACCATCTCCCCCGTGGTCCCTGAGATCCATTTGGTCTCTCCTGTTTATTTGTGACTCGCTTCCCATGTGCTGCCTGCTGTCTGTTTCTGGAACACAAGACCCCCTACCTGAGCCATTGGCATCTCTGTTTACGATGCCATTTCCCTCAGACAACCATTAACCAATGTCCTCAACTGCTGCAGGCTATCTTTCAGATATCACTTCTTAATTGGCGCAGATTAGAATCTCACTCCCAGACATGTGTTGACCTATGTAGAATTAATGTTATTCACCACTGGGACTCTTTCCTGACTGTCCCCAAGAAGTCCAGCGTGAGGATGGCACTTAGCTTAGGGTCCTCCTGTTGCCAGGAACTACTCATTTCTTACCCAGATGAGTACAAGATTTATCCCATAGTCATTGAGGTTTAGATCCTGCACTTTGGCCACCTGCAGGCATGTAGAGGGCAGAGCTCTCTACCTTTTGGGACAGGGTATATAGATCAAAGGGGCCAATATCCAGGGGAAGACCCTGTAATCTGGTGTCAGGGTGGTCTCCACCTGAGCGTACTTGGGGACAAGTAGAGTGTAACACTGACAGGTGTCAGGAACCTGGGACCCAGGCCACTCCACAGAGGTAGGTGGCTTTGGGGCAGAAGTGCCGCCTACTCCCATGCTGGGGCTCCTGGCAAGGAGTCAGGGGTTCCTATCCTGTAGCTTCTGGCCCAACAGTCCCTCATGGTCTAAACCCACAGGACATTTTCCAGAACTGATCTTCTTGCTTTGGGGCAGCCTAGCTGCCTCCCTGGCAGAAAAGACACTAAAACCTAATTTGCCAAGTAGGTATCTAAGAACATTTCCTGGAAGGAAGCCTAGTTTGGACAGATGGCCCAAGGAACAAAATAAGATGCTGCCTTTGTCTGGACACCTCACCCTCATATCTAACACAGGCTTGCCCCCTGCATCCTAGGCAGTGCGGCATGGACCATGCATACATCTAAGTAGCAATGGAACTTAGTGGGACCCAGTATGGCCTGGATGTTCTCATGTCTGTCTTTCCCCTGATGCAGATGGAGCCAGCATCCTATCACACTTCCTGGACTCCTACCAAGTCATGTTCTTCACCTTCTTTGCCCTGCTGGCAGGGACAGCGGTCACCATCATAGGTAAGACCAACCACGTATCCCTGTTTGCACCCTGCACCCTCTCACGCTGCCTAGTCTCACCAGCCTGTGCTCTTGCAGCTTACCACACAGTGTGTGCACCCCGGGAACTTGCTTCACCCATGGCTCTCACGCCCCGTGCCAGCCCTCAGCACAGCCCCCACTGTGAGTACTCCGGCCACAGGCACAGCCTGGAGAGCCTCCACAAAAGAGTCACCTCCTGGGGTAAGGGTGGGATCCAGGCCCTGAACCCTGTCTCAGCAGCCTTGTCAGAGCACAAGGGGTAACTAGACCCAGCAACAGATGGGGCAGGGGAAGAGGGTATCACATGGACTCAAATACTAGTCCTGACTCAGAAGGCTTAACCCCACCCCTTTCAGTAGTCTTTGATTCTGGTGGCCTAAGGTCTTGGTCACTCTGTGCAACTCCTGGGGCGCCTCTCTCCGAGTCTTCTGGAGCTGTGCAGTGTCCTACTCATGCAGCTGTACCCAAAGCCCTTTGTCTCCTGATTCCCATTTTGTAGTCTGATGCCTGTGTCTGCTCATCTCAGTGTTACAGGGTTTTGGACAGGGGACAATTTTATGGCCAGGAGCACTGACCTTGGGAGACAAAATCTCCAACATGCCCCAGAATCAGAGCCTCTTTCTGCTGCCTTGGTCTTTAAGACAGGACTCCTGAGTGTCCCAGCATGCTGGGTGGTGGCTGTCCTCATGACTCTGGTTTGTCACACAGCCGTTCTGCTGCAATCTCTCACCCTTTCTGACCCTTTCTCCCAGTATTCCTTGGAGTCACTGTGGGGTCTTCGTACCGTCCCCCAAGGACCCTCCCCTTGCCTCCAGGTCCTTGTTACTACAGCATTGTGCCCAAGAGTCTGGTCCTCCAATCCTCTTGGAGAGGTAACACTGCGTCCTGAGATCCATCCAGACCTTGAGCTCAGGAAGGCAGGGTCATGCTCCAGGCTGAGTAAATATAAGGAGTCTTGGTTTTAAGAATCATTTTTATCCACTTTCAAAAACCCCACGCACCCCTGTAAAACTCATCCACAGCCCCCACAGGATTGGCCCACTCGAGCACATAGATTCCACATGGAGTCAGACTTCCTCAAGTGGGAATGAGGAAACAGAAGACTGCTGGGTACAGTCTTCTCAACTCAGGTTGAGCAATAATCGTTTCCATGTCTCCCCTGCCCCTGTCAGTTTCTCTCTACTGTTCCAGGGGTCAGCTGTCCCAAGTACAAGCCCCTGGCATGCTGCAAGTACTTAAGTCTTTATTTTGTCCAATGAGTGTGGTGGGGTATATTGGCTCTTACTCCTCCATGCTCACTTCCCCTTTTCTCCCTAGATCTTGCCTCATCGCCTGCCGCTTTCAACACATCACCTCCTGGTCGCAAAGGCAGTCCTCCCTCGAGGCTCTGGAGCCCAGCCTATGCCTCTCACTAGCCAGTATTCCGGACTGTTGTTGCTGCACAGCTAAACTGACATCACAATGGAAGGAATGGAATGAAAGTGTGACCATCATGTTCACACTGGGCCCTGGGCCATCCTCACTGCCCTGGCTGTGCTGAGCCACTGCCTGAATCACATAAGCAAGGGTTTTTACTTTGTTTGCTTTTAAATCTCCTTCCCAGTCTTGAGAGCTGGGGCTTCCTGGCTCCCTCCTTCCCATGTGGCTTGCATGGGGTGCTGCTTAGTCCGGCATTTGTCCTGCTCATGGGAGCTTGCTTACTCTGTGCACATGGCTTTGAGTAACTGGAAGCTGTTTCTACATTGTCTATAGATGATGTCACTATAGCAATCTCAGGGAAAGGGTATTCTCATTACTCCTTGGGTTTGTATGGTGCTGGGCATGGAACCCACGGTCTCATGCCTGCTAGGCAAGCGCTTATCCGCTGTCGCTCACGCACACACAAGCAGGCAGACATGTTCATACATACATGTGGCAGCCCTTTTGTGTATGTGGGTTGTTTTGTTTGTTTAGGTTTTTTGCTTCATGAAAACCTAGCCTTCTCCTTGTCCTACCGCTGCTAGGAAATATGGGGGAAAGCAGGTGTGGGTGCCCTCTAGGGTGTTCCCTGGACTGTGCCCAGAGCCATGTTCTATCTGAGCTTTTTTAACTGTGAGAATTGCTGAGCTTCAGCAGAGTGGCCCTCACTTCAGATCTGAGGGCTTCGGTCTCGATTCACGGCAAGAGAGCTCTGGTCCCTGGCATGTTGGAGTACTCTGGTTCTCCCTGGGGGACTTGGGAATAGCCAGTGCATCTTTGTCCGTACCCTATAGCCGCTGGCGGGGTCTTCTGCTCTGTGGGCTTGTTCTGAGAAGCTGCTGTAAATTGTGCAGCACAGACCCAGTGTGACCTGTTCTCCTGTCATGGAAGACACCCAATACAGTACCTCAGCAGATCTGAGCCATCACCCACTCGCCCTCCACCCCTTCTTTTCCGGGGACAGAAGAGGATACCATGGAAAAACAATTCCTGCTCACGTCTAAACTCAGGGACATGGCCACTCTGCTCAGGTCCAGCTGCTGTGGCACTGTCAGAAAGCCGGAGACTTGGCCTCCACATGGGTGGATATGGGCACCACATCACCACGAGTTCAGTTGGCCTTTGAAGGCCATGTGCGATCCCTTGCTTCCTTTTCTGGAGCTGGGGACAGAGGATTTGTGCCCAACCTGCCACTCAGTCTCCCACTGGAGCTATCATGGAGCCTTCTCTGCATTTGTTTAATAAAGTTCTGTGTAGTTTCTTAAGGGTGTGGTAGTTCCTGGGGTGCTGACTCTGCCTGAGTGTCTACTATGACTGGTGACCCATTTCTAATAGTGCTCTTCCTTCCTTTCTGGCTATGGGCCCTCCCTTCCTACCCCAGAGACAGAGGCAGCAGCAGGACCTTATCTGTAGGAGAGCATAGCCCCCTTCCATCCCCATCCTGCTGTCCTCTTAGGAATCAGCCACTCTACCATCTCCTTCCTTCCTTCATCGTCATCGGAAATTTCTGACTTTGAGCCTTAAAATGGCCTTTCCCCATCCTGCCCACCCAGGGCTGTTTTCCCAAGACTTTTACCACCACTGCCTCCCTCTCCAAAGGACCAGCTCTCTGCCGCCCTGACTGCTCTTCTCCCCAGTCCTAGCCAGGTACTAACCCTGCCACATTCTTCTATGGGAGTGAGTAATGGCCGTTCTCATAGCTCCCCAGGACACTACGTGAGATTTAGAATGTGGTCAGCAGTATCAAATGCTAAGTAGATACTGTACTTACTGTACATGTGCCTGCCTGGTGCAACACACATGATGTTGGTGTCGCACTTAGGTAAGACCTCTCTGAAACACAAGATGACGCCCAGATCCAAGCAGCACATCATATCCAGACATGGCAGTGTCCAGAAGAATAGAAAGAAACTCCTGTCTCCTAAGGATCGAAAACAGTCTTTTCAGGGTCCAGCAGGCACTTTGACCATCTCCATGGCTAAGGTCTGAGCCACTCCTGGCCTATGGCTGAGAACAGTGGAATGATCATATCTTGAGGGCCTCTAGCTATCAGGAAGCTGACCACTGACTCTTCCCAGACAGAATGGAAAGATTGCAGTGTCTTCCAGTCACCTTTGTTCCTGAGGGTACTGAGTTTCTTCTCTCTACCGACAGAAGTGCTGGGCACCTGATAAGAGCTGGCCATTAAGTTAAGCTCCTTCTCCCCAGGGGCCAGTAGCTTTTCAAAGCACATTGGGGGAACACAACCAGATCTTTGTGATAGTAAACCTGACTTGGCATGCTGACAAACCAGAGGGACACACACAGCTTGACTGGGTTCTCCGCTGAGCAGCTCTCACTGCCTGAAGGTGCCAGAAGATGCTTTTAGCACCAAGAACACAGAATCGCAGAAAGGTATTTTTCTCTAGAATTCTTAAGTTTGAGCATTAACCCTCTCAGTCTTGCTCTTTGTCTGCCTGCTCACCTGTTGGACAGATTTGAGCTCTTAGTTTGCTTCCCATTGCTGTGATAAAGCACCATGATTAAAACTGACTTGAGGAGGAAAAGGTTTATTTTGTTTCTAGGTAAGAGTCCATTATGGAGGCATGTCAGGGCAGGAACTTGAGCCAGGGCCCTGGAGGAGAGACCATGGAAGAATGATGCTTACTGGGCTTGTTTTCCAGGGCTTTCTCAGTCTGTTTCTTTATTCAGCCTCACACCACACGCTCACATTGCTCCCTCCGTATCATCGGTCAAAAAAATGGCCCCACAGATTTGCCTACAGGCAGTCTGATGGAGGCGGTTCTCAAGGATTCGTCTTCCCAGATGACTGACTTGTGTGTGTTACATTGATACAAAACCTGAACAGCACACAGGCTGGCTGGAAACCCTTCATCTTGAGTCTGAAATGTGGGCACATGTTAAGTTGTAGGATATATCTGGAACCTGGAGATGGCACAGGAGTGCAGGCCAGTCTCACCACCGTTTCCACTTTGACACCAGAGTGGCCTTTTGCAGGAGGCTTCAACAAGAAGCAGATGGCAGACTGTATTCCTCCTAACATCCTGTTAGCCTCCCTGTGTGGCAGCCTCTCCAAAGAATGTTTGAAGGTCTTCCTACCCAAAGAAATTACATGTTGCTCACATGGCTCTCACTAACATACATGGTAGGTAGGCATAACAAGAGTCTGTTTGAAGGTTCTACCATGGACAGGAAGATAGAATGGACATATGGGTTTCAGGTGTTCCCTCCCTATCACAGATGAACCCAATTGCAGATAGTCCCTGGGAAAACAAGGTGGTTGCTCATAGCCCCTGGCATAGGGTTTGTAGTTAGGCAGCAGATGGCTGTTCAGGAAGACCATGTGCCCAGAAGGGAAGAAATTTTAATTTATGAAACAGTTCACCCTATATTTTCATAAGAAAGTAAGAACATTTCATTATTGTTACATTTATTTATTTGAGGGGGTCAGAGGACAACTTGTATGGCATTGGCTTGGTCCTCCCACTATATGAGTTCTGGGGATCCAACCCAGGTCACCAAGTCTTAGTGGTGAGTGCCTCTAGTCACTGAGACATCTTGTCCTGTAGAAAACAAAGAATTCACAAGAAAATGACTCATAAAAGGATTAAAAATTTTTTCAGTAAAATTCCACATTAAAATTCCCTTTGGCTTTGATTGTTTTTTTTTTTGTTTGTTTGTTTGTTTTTTTGTTTTTTGGGTTTTTTTTTTTTTGGTTTTTCAAGGCTTTGATTATTTTACTGAGACATGATCTCAGTGTGTAGCCTTGGTTAGCCTGGAACTCATTCTGCAGAGGCTGGCCTCGAACTAACAGAGACACAGAGATCTGAATGCTGGCTGGCATTAAAGGTACGCACCACCACTAAGCAAAATTCTTTTTTTTTTTTTTTTTTTTTTTGGTTTTTTGAAACAGGGTTTCTCTGTAACTTTGGAACCTGTCTTGGAGCCTTGCTCTGTAGACCAGGCTGGCCTTGAACTCACAGAGAGCCGCCTGTCTCTGCCTCCCAAGTGCTGTTTTGAAGGTGTGCACCACCACTGCCCCCAAATTCTTTTTCATTAAAAAACAAAACCAAACCCCACCTTGATAGTAGAGCGCAAAGAACAACGATGACCTGATGCCTGTTGTGCACTGCAGGCAATTAACTGGTAGCACAGCCTTGCATTTCTGAGCTTTGTTAGGTTTAGTTTTGTGTTGGTACTTTTTTGTTTTTTTCCCCCTAAAAGCAGACAGGAAACTATGACTTAAGTCTCATTTAGCATCTGCCTTCTGTCTCATTTTCTCATTAACTAATAAATTTGTTCCAAAGTTTCCAAAACAACGTTTATTCTTTTTTTAAAGATTTATTTTATTGTTTCTAATTTTTTATGTGTATGTGTGTTTTGTCTGCTCGTGTATGCCTGTGCACCACATATGTGCCTAGTACCTGGCAGAGGCCAGAAGAGGGCATTGGATTCCCTGGAACTGGAGTTGGCATGGTTTGTGACCTGCTATGTGGGAGCTGGGAATTGAACTCAGTTCCTCTGGAAAAGCAGCCAGAGCTTTTAATGACTAAGCCAATTCTCCAGCTTCTATTTTTATTATTTTTAATTGTATGTGGGGGGGATGTGACTGTAGGTGCCTGTGGAGGTCAGAGGTCAGAATCCCTGGAGCTACAAGCAGTTGTGAGCCTCCTGACAGGATGTTTAGAACAGAACCCAAGGTCTCATGAAGAGCAGAGCTCACTCTTTAACTGCTGAGACATTCTCCAGTCCACCCCATCTTTTTTTGATTGATACCGGTTTGTGGTCCATCCTAGACCCCGAGCAAGAAAAGGGAAGAAAAGTTCACACTGAACACCCGATGCTAGGAGTCATCAACAGGGAGCACAGTGAGCCCACGGTGCTGGCAGACTGGTACTTTGCATGTTGGTATTTTCATGAAGCAGTTTGTCTCCAAAAAAAAAAAAAATGTACTATTTTATGTATTTATTTAGGTGGTAGGGCTGCCGCAGGCACGAGCTGTAAGGCAGGGGTATAGACATCATGCCTTTCTGCCTGGGGGTTATCCCCAAGGAACTGGTGGGAAGCTGTGTTTTTAACATGAAACCATCGCAGAGTGAGGAAGAAGGGGAGGCAAAGCCCAGCGGTGGCTTGGGGACTGGCTATTTATTAAGTTTATGTTGTATGTAATTAGCAAATAAAAGTGTGGAGGATTTCAGCAGTCGCCTCATCAGGTGACCATGGTCATTTACCGAAATGAGCATTTTAGTGTGCATTGAAAGCAGATTATAAGACTCAGGAAACTGAAGACCATGAGTTCCCCAGTTTCCCAGACAGGAGCTTTGCCGCTGGAGTCCTCAGTGAAGGCCAGGTGGGTCAGAGCCCAGAGCTGTGGGCCAGGCCACAAGGTGCAGTTAGCAGTCCGGTCTCTGCCAGTTACCAGGTGATGTCCTTGTGTACTTTCCTCCCAAACCTTAGTTTCCCTCCAGCATCAGCTTTCTGTGTTGGTCTCGTGGATATTAAATGTCCCACAACAGCCATGTGGTAAAAGCAGTCTCCAGCCTGTGGCACTTAGTGCTGGGGAGGGAGAGAACCTACAAGAGTAGGGTCCAGAGGAAGTAAGTTGGTCTCTGGCAGTGTGCTCTGAATGGGCTGTCGGGACCCTGTACTCTCCCGACACACACACTTGCCTTCCCCTTGTGATGAGGTGAGCTGCTTTGCTCTACCATGTATTATCACAGCCTGCTTCATCCCAGAGCCCCCGCAGTGGGTCAGGTGACATGGACCATTGGCATACACCCACACAACTGTGTCCATCTTGTAAGCTGATGCATTACAGCTGTTCGTGTGCTGACAGAGGAGCCTGTGTTGAATATGGATTTTCCTCCTTTCTCCCCTCAGGGGTCCAGGATAACCACCCCTGGTTTCTGAGGCCTCAATATTCTTCTTCAGGACTTGTTACTTGAATGGTTCCCTGAGCCACTTACCAGACACACAGAAGTAAATCAGTAACCAGTGTAGTCCTGACAGGACAATGCCGATGGGCCAGAATGGACACACCCACAGACAAGGGCAGCTCGATAGGGAGCTGGTGCAGTTCTCAGAATACATGGCAGATAAGACCCACTTGATAAAATTGCACATGATATCAGGCTGAGTAGGCTATTTAATGCGATAATTAAAACCTATTTTATCAAGTCATGTCATAAAATAATCTAATCGCAGTTAATCCTCATTGTGTTTCATCTTGTCAATGGCTTAATAGTTTCTATTTCCTATTAATAAAAATATACCACTAAACACAGGAAGAGGAATTACAGATGCCACCGAGAGAAGCTGTGGGGAGTATAGTTTTGCCAGAGTTCTTAGGGAGCAAACAAAGGGTTGCTAAATCACGCCTCTAGGGCACGGTGTTTGAGCAGCAAGCATGTGAGGTGCTCATGACAGACAAGGAAGGTTATTCTGGGGGAGGTGTGAATGGAACTCCCCCAGTGGACAGCATGGTTGGTCAGTGTGGGAAAAGAGACGGGACTGTACTGGGGGAAATCTGTATTGCTGTCTCCTCTTTGCCCTTTTGTTCTTTTTTAAAGTGTTATTTTGTTATTTGATGGGTATTAAATGTTTGTCTGCATGTGTGTCTGTGCACTTTCATGCCTGCTCCCTTGGAGGCTAGAAGAGGCTTCTGATTCCCTGGAACTGGAATAGAGATGATTGTGAGCAGCCATGGAAGTACTGGGAATTGAACCCTGATCCTTTCCCAAAGCGACAAATGCTCTTAACCACTGAGCCATCTGCAGCCCTTGCCCCTGTATTCCTTAACCAGGTTCCCCTGTGCCCTGTGGGCAAAAGGAAGAGGCCAGGCTTCGGGTGTGGTATTCCCTGCTCTGCCAGACCCTCCACCTTGGCCTTGA